AGAGTGGAGCCGGAGACTCTGATGCAGTGTTTTTTGAGTGTTTAACATTTGTATTGCTACCCTTTGTTATCTACTGTATAGCAGCTAAAAAAATTAATGGTAGCTATACAGAAAACCAAGTAAATTTTAAAATTGATGCAAATATCAACTGAGGGGAAAAGAAAGTTGTTAGAGACTTAGAATAACCTTAGTATCCTATTTGGCTCACAAGTGAAGATACATTATTACATTAGTCTACTGGCTTTAATTATGAAATTGGTTCTTCCCTGTTGGGAAGGAAGGTAAGAGCGTGTGTGAGCTAAACTGTTACCCACGGGAACACGAGTCAGCAGGCGCGTCAGTAGAGATAAAGGGGGACAGCTGGCTCTGGGAAACAGGTTAGGGCCGGGGGGCCGGGATGAGGGTGAGGGTGAGCAGGGCTTTCTGTTTAATCTTGTGACGAACGTGGGTGGGAATTGAGACCTGGGGTGAGGTATTCTACCCTCGTCAGTCTGCTGCCATATCTCAGTTGGCAGTTGAGACCCAAGGCCACAGCTTGAGTGTCATAGGACTATCCGGTGGCTTCAGGTCTTGTCAGGGGCAGTGACAGAAGATACGCCACTCCCTCTCTGAACTTGTGCCAGAGACATTTGTGGACCCAGAAGCAATAGAAGGGAGGCAGGCTTCGGAGCTTACAAGGCCGACTTTCTGCAGTGATTCTCTCTGTTGTGTTGTGTATGCATGTCCCCATGGGGAGTAAAGTGGGAGAACGAAAGTGCTCATATTGGTGTTTCAGAAACACAGGTCTCAAAACTCTGACAGAACAGAAACAGAGATGGCGGCCCCTGGGCCAGCCGTCGCGGAGCCTCAGTGGTGCTCTCATTAGCAAGGCCACCGTGGCCCTAACTGGGAGGGGAAAGCATCGGTTTGAAGAACAGGTATGACATAATGGAAATACCATTAGGGATTTCGTATTTTTAGGCTCTTTCATGTTAGAAATCCTGTCTTGGTAAGCAAGTGTTGTTTGACTTACCAAGTAACGTCCAGTTTTAGGCCATGATTCTAAACCTGTTCGGATGTCAGGGAGGGAAGTGACGTGTGTTCTGACAGCCTGGAGTGCTGGAGAGGCTCTAGTCCTCTGTCCTCTTTGGACAAGTCCTAGAAATGCAAATCAGAATCATGTTTTGTCTTTTATTTGCATGCCACTCCCTGCCTGGACTTAGTTTCCCTATTGGACTTGAGGTTCTTGAGCAGCCCCCACCTTTCCCTTGAGCCGTGTGCTGGGGAAGCAGAAAGCCTGATCCTCCAGTGGAGCTGAAAGCCAGGAGAGGAGGTGGATGCCCAGGGGGTCAGGTGGAGATGGGCTTCAGGTGGCCAAGCCGTGAGGCAGCGACTCAGGACCTGTGGACTTGGAGGAAGAGGGACGCCTACCTCCCGGTGTTCCACTTCTGCTCTCAGGCCGGTCTCCTAACGCTGTGAGCCTGCTCTCCCGCCGGTGAAGCATTTCCCTTTCCTCCTCTTCTGCAGCAGCAGGTCAGCCATGTTGGCTTCTCGTTGCTTCACATATCCTTCTGTGGGCTCCCACTCAGTCATGGCTGGAGCTGCTCTGAAGTCCTGGTGAGGACATCTGAAGAGAGAAGAGCCCCAGTGGCAGGACTTCATGCTTGGGCTTAGGGTTGGGTTACGCACTTGGACTCGGCCATCCCAGCCCTGTTCCCAGTCACAGCCAGTTGCTGGATGGAAGAGGAGGGCTGAGGAGGGTGTGTCGTATTGCTGAGGGGCAACAGGATCATCCACTGTTGTTCCCTGCCCACTGCTGTGTTCCCTGTGCCTGGGGCAGCGCCTGGCACGCCGAGGTGAAGAGGGACGGTGCGAGAGGGAAGGCTGCTTGGAGTGTGCAGAGCTGCATGGGAATCGGCTCGGCCATGAGAGCTGCCCACCCTCCAGCTGGCCTTAGTGGTGAAACGCTGTCTGGGTCTCAGAAGGAAATTCTCCATGGTCAGAGGTGGTCGTCGGGATCTCTAAGTGTGCTAATCCTTGCTCTGCCTCCTCCCCAGCTGCCCCCAGCTCCTGCTCCTCCAGCACACTTGGAAACCCCTTGTCTGTCATTAGTGCCATCTCCTTGGCCAAGCCCTTCCTCTTGCTGACAAAGGCCTGTGTACTGGCGGGTTTCCTTGGCAGCATGTAAGGGGCACCGAGTAAGTGAGTGGTGAGTTGGTCGATGTGGACCTTAGGACAGGAAGAGGAGTGACGGAAAAGAGAAGGGATCCAAATTACCCCCAAAGCACAGAGAAGCCTGCTTAGTCAAAGTAACTTCTTCCATCACCCCGGGCCCTCTTCCTTTAACTGTCTCACCAGTGGCCCCTCACCCACATGCTTCAGATGGCTTCTCCCTTGAAGAGTTGAAATCCAGGCCACCTGGCAAGCTCAGTACCCACGTCACTCCGCAGAGTACTCTCTTACCTTTCTTTCTCTTGCCCCTCTGTCCTACATTGGTGGGTTTTCACCCGGTGTGCCACAATAATTTTTAAAACATGCAGTACCTGACTATTTAGTCAAGGACACTGACCTCTTTTCCCTTAGATTGTCAAATAAAAATGACAACAGTCACTACAACAATGGCCATCCCGTGTGAATGAATCAAAATCACACTTTTTTCGGTCAGGTTGGCAGAAAATCCATTTTTGTGTGCACCACAGATTTTTGGCAATCAGTCTGTGTGTCGTGGGATGAAAAAGGTCAGGAGTCACTGTTCTGGGTCCCTGCAGGTCTCTGCAAGCACTGTGGCCTGTCCCAGACAGAGGCTGTTCTCGGTCTGGGAGAGAGGCCAAGACGCAAAGTGGAATCACAGGTCTTGCTCATTTGAGTAGACAGGAGGGAGATGTGAAATGTAGGCGTAGCTTCTGCTACACCCAAGCTTGCCCTCAAGCCTGTCCCAGACATGCCTGCCTGTGCCCAAGCTGTGCCCTCTGCTGGGAAGCCCTTCTGTCCACCTCCCTCATCCAAGTCCACCCTCCCTTGAAGGCCAGTGTGGACCTCCCTGATCCTCCGCCTGCCTGGGGGAAGCAGGGAGAGGGCTTCGTGGTGCTGTCCCTGTGCCTGAGTTGTCCGTCTCTGCCCAGAGCAGTATGCTCAGGAGGTGTGCATGGGGCACTCCGGTCCTAGAGAGAGGGTGTTGCTGGCCCCTGGGGCTGGGCGATGGACCAGAGCAGCTACAGCCTCAGGCACCTTCCGCAGGGGAAGCAGCAGATGAGGTGGTTGTGTTGGTGGTGAGGTGGTTCCAAAAGCCTTAAAGATGCTTCTCCTTTGGGGTCTTTGCTTTATGTTGAGCTTATCTCAGGCAGGGGTAGAACATTATATATGTTAGAATGATTCACAATCAAATGGCACCTGATTCCCATCACATAGCCTGAGATGAAGCTGGAAGTACTCCCTGAATACTTAGCGGGGAGAGAACCACATCCGGGAGGGCTCACAGCATAGCTGCCCAGGTCTCAGAAGGAAATAACGAGGCACAAACATTTCTGTACAAGTAATTCCTTCGCAGAGTAATGGAAGAATGCAAACAACCTAAACTTTTTTTTACCTATTGCCACTTTTTTTTAAGATTTTATTTATTTTATTTTTAGATAGATGAGAAGGGAAGGAGAAAGAGAGATAAAAACATCATTGTGTGGTTGCTTCTCATGCGCCCCCTACTGGGGGCCTGGCCTGCAACCCAGGCATGTGCCCTGACTGGGAATAGAACTGGCAGCCCTCTGATTTGCAGGCCCATGCTCAATCCACTGAGCTATGGCAGCCAGGGCTATTTAGAGTCTTAAGCTTACAAAGCAAATCCTAAAATAGAATATTTGATGCAATCCCAATATTTTTGAAGATTTATGTAGGAAAAAAGAGACTGAAGGGCGGACCTGACATAGAAATGGTTAATGTTTTTTTCTTTTCAAACCTGCATATTTTTCAAGTATTTCACATTGAATAATTGTTATATTATAATGAGAAAAAATAGATTATTATGAAATAAAAGCAGTTATTAGAGTCTGATACTAGCAGAACCAGATGGCTAGCGAAGCTTTAGTCAGTGGGGCTAATTGCCAGCCACAGAGTCAGGGAAGTGGGTTTATGGGACACCGCCCTACCCTGCAACCCCTTGCCCTTAATTCACCACGGTCCCCCATGCCACACCACACCCCTTGCCAAGCCAAATCACACCTTTGTATCCTTTGCCTCAGGCCAGCCGTGCACACGGAGGGCTCCAATGTCCCTGGTTCTGTCCGTGTGTAGCCGTGCAGACCCAGTTTGTCACTGTCTGCACCAGGTAGCCTTCACTGTGCACCAAGGTGGCCTCGTGCAGGCAGAGTGGGAAGGAGGGTGGCTCAGGAGGGACATTGCCTCTGGCTGTTCCCTACACAGGGGGTTGGAGAAGCCCAGAGAGAGGCTGGAAGGACCGCCCTGCAAGTTACTCGTAAACCACAATACATAAGACTGGAATTCTTCCTAGTCTTCAGCTTCCTGCTAACACTGCCAACCGTGCCTCAGGGCCTGCTGCACACAGGGCCTATGCCAGGCGCAGGGAGCCCGGCAGCAGTGTACTGAGGCCCAGTGCCGAGAGGGTCACACACAGCAGTTCTCCCTTTGTGCTCACGGGAGGCTCCCAGGCAGTCTGAGGCGGGAGGGCAGCCAAGGGTCTGGGAGAAACCTCAGTGCGGCCTAGAGCTCCTGAGAGAGGGTCAGCAGGAACGGCTGCCCCTTGATGTGCCAGCAGCAGCCTGTTAGAGACGGCACTTGGGGGGGGAGACCTCATTTCACAGTACCAGTAAAAAAATGAAGACTGCCAAGGGGTAGTTTTAAGACATGTGTGCGGCCCGTTTGATGCAAACAGCAATGTTTCGTTGAGCTCTTAAGAAAACCTGAATAAAGGGCGCGTGTGTCGCACCCATGTCTGGTCCTCTAGACCTCGAGTAGTCTGACTATGCTGCTGCGAGAGCAGTGCTCACAGCCACTTCTCTTTTTACTTCCAGAAGTGACCGGGGATTCGCGTCCTTACCATGGAAAGGAGGCTGTGGATTCGAGGCAGGGGCGGGCCCGAAGTGGCGACCCCACGCATTTCCATGCAGTGAATGTGGCGCAGCCTGTTCGCTTCAGCAGTAAGTTGCAGACCTGCCCTGTTTGTGACTGAAGCCCCACAACCCCATGCAGTCCCTGGCTCTCCCAGTGCCCCTTGGCTGTGCAAAGGGCGTGCGGGGGCGGGGAGGGGCGGTCTTTAAAACAGCCCTTCAAGGAGTTCGGGCATCCTTCTCCTTTGCTAAGAGGCTGTGCCATGAGCCACCCAAGGCTATCCAGGCCAAGAATGGGGAGGCCTTGATGCCAGCCTGGGCTCCTGCGCCAGCCTGCCTATTTTCACAAGACAGCTGCCTTTCAGAGCAGGGCTGCAGAGCCCTTCCGTAGATGGAAACAGGCTCCAAGAAACTAGGTACAGCTGGTGCCGTGGGAAGGCTCTAGCAGTGTTTATAAACATTTTTTTAAAAGTGACTATTCACAGATTCCCTATGACATTAAGATTTTAAAAGAACAGAACAAGATTGAGGAACGTTGGAAGGCAGAAAAACCACAGCCAACAGACATGCGTAGGCATAATGGCATGCGTAGGCGTGATGCCATGGGTGATAGGTTTGAGGAGCAGCAACTCACCAGGACAGGAGGAACTGACGTAACATGTGACGCTGTGCCTGGGTGCTGGGTGGTCCTGTCGCTCCTGACCACACAGATGCTCAGTGCTGGGGAGCTTTGACACGTGTAGCTGAGAACTCTGGGGTTCTCGCAGGGGCGAGATGCAGGCTTGGCAAGGGAGGAGATGACCCCTGACAGGCCACACGGCCAGCGGGGCAGCCCGTGGAAGTGTGACCCTCAAGCCCCGTGCACATTCTGTCATCACTTACTGCTTTCTTCTGAATAGATAATGCTCACCTGGGGAATAATTCCACAGAGTTCAACAGGCAAATAAAGATGTTCCCTCTCTCTGTTGCCCCCACTCATTGGTATCTGTGCCCAGGGGACTTCCTCTGGACTCATCCCACGATGTGGGTGAGGAGGCAAAACAGAACCCCAAGCTGACACTCACCAGCTGAGGTACTTGGCCTCTGCACACCTCGGTGTCCCCACCTGTAACCCGGAGACAGGATGGCGCCCACATGTGGGGGCTATGGCAGGTTACACACATCTTGGTGGTAGGGGCTTAGCAAGCATGCAGTAAGAGGCCTGGTAATCCCCCTGTACTCACATGGCCACACACCTCCCCTTCCCCTGCTCCGAGGTCCTGAGGGCTGGCTCCCGTCTCCGGCCAAGGCCTCCCAGTGCGCTCCGCCACACGTGAGCAGGCCCTCCCGCTGTCTGCACTGCAGCCGTGCTGGGGCGTGCCTTGTGGGCTCGGGGTCCAGGGGTACCTGGGTACCTTTCCTCTCCTGTCGTCTCAGTTCCATTGTTCGTAAGTCACACACACATGCTCTAAGTAATAAAAACTTGAGCTTTAAGAAGTTTTACTAGTTCCACATGACGTAGCTACATCAAAAAATTGTATTTTATTAACTGGCTTTGTTAAAAAAAAATGGTTACTCTTCGTCTGTACTCAGTTAGGAGGTAGGTGCCCCACCTACAGATCCTGATAGGTTACAGATCCTGGAGGACAGGTTGTCGCCCTTATCCACGGCCAGCCGTGTGGCGTGGAGCCTTGCTGACCCTGGGGATGGGTCTTCCTGACAGCTGGGCTTACCCACTGTGGACCCGCCAGGACCTCGTTTTCTCATCTGTGGGAGGCAGGAGTTGGTCTGCAATCTCAGTGGCCCCTCCAGCTCTGATCTCCTGAGCTCCCGTGTTAGCAGAGTGCAGGCTGGCACCCGTGTGAACGGAAAAGGTGGGTGGAGGAGCGGACTCAGAGAGCCGGCGTTGGGGCAGTGAGGGCAGTGTGGGCAGGGAGCTGGCGCAGGCTGTCCTGCCACCTGGTCAGTCAGACTTCATCAGAGGATGAAATCTGCTTTACCGAAGGGATTCGGCAGCCAGTCTTTACTACCCAGCAAATTAAAGACCTTATGGAAATGGGAGGATCCACTGGTTGTACTTGGGCCTTTGCTTACATCTGTATCTTAGAGAAACAAGAATTCCACCTAGTGTGTGGTCTTAGAAGCAGAGCTTTTCCACTTGAGCCTCAGTTTCCCCATGTCTCTAGAGGGATTTCTGAGCAGCATGTATAATTGTGTTTTGGAGTGAGGATCCTAATTTTGGGGGTCAACTCCCCTCTGTCCTTCATGTTTCCTAGGGAAGTGCCCGACAGGGTGGCACCACTATGAAGGCACGGCCAGCTGTTACAGGGTCTACCTGAGTGGGGAGAACTACTGGGACGCTGCGCAGACCTGCCAGCGTGTCAACGGCTCCCTCGCCACCTTCTCCACCGACCAGGAGCTGCGTTTCGTCTTGGCTCAGGAATGGGACCAGCCAGAGCGGAGTTTTGCCTGGCAGGACCAGCACAAGTAAGTCCTGGGTTCCCATGACTGACTTGCCAGTCCCCTGGGTGGGGACTGAGGGGCTTGAGGGTCAGACCATCGCCCACCAAGCACATGGCCTCTTGGTCGCTGTGGCAGTCCTAAGGCCAAGCCAGCATCCGGCAAAGGGGGGAAGAGCAGCTCCACCCCCTGGAAACAGAGAGGCCCAAGGGTGTGGAGTGGGCGTTAAGATGGGGTGGGAGGTCTTGGGAGGGCAGAGATGGGCTGCCACCTTGTGTCACTTTGGGCCAGTCCCTTTTGTTGGTCCTCCTCTGTAGGTTCAGCTGCTGCTGCTCACCTGCAAGGGGACCCGGCCCACGTCAAGAGGGGCTACTCAGTGCAGGCCTTTTGCGGGCCCAGCACAGGGGGTGCACAGGTGGGCAGTAGTCCCTGCTGAGAAGGAGGGCTCTGCCAGGCCCTCTGCTCAGTGCTTTCCGTGGGCTCACTCGTTTAGTCCTCCCGGAAACCACGGAGGCCGGTGGGCGAGAAGGCAGAGGCTGGTGTGCCACCATGTGACTGTGGGCTACACTCGCTGGGCTCCCGCCCGGTCTGGCTCCAAAGCCAGGCCCTTGACCCCCAGGCTCTGCAGCACTGAGGAACAGTGTGGGAACTGGCCAGCTGCCTGCATCTTCCAGCCCTTGGGTCATGGGGGCAGGCCTATGCAAGGCCTGTGGTGTCTGGCCCACTGCTGCCCCGTGCACACCGCTGGGGGCAGGTGTGAGTCACAGGGGTCCCAGACCCTGCAACCCCAGTGACGGCACAGGCTGCCCTGCCACCTCAGGAACGAGGTGACCGAGTCAGGTGAACATAGCCTTCTTTTTAAGACCAGAGCAGGGATTGGGCTCTACCGTCATAGCCACGACGACATTGGCAAACTATGAGACCATGCTGTTTTTTCTTCTGCAGCCACGAAGTGAGAAAAATAACTCCTAGCTCATAGGGTGGTTGTAAGTGTATGATAAACCGGGAGGGCTCGGCCCCATGAGTGGGGAAGTCCTCCGTCTCCTCAAGGTGGGCATGGGTGTGGCAGTAGGCTGAAGGGGCAGAGTGGTACCCTGCCAGGGCCCCCCAGTGGCAGTGGACCTGCCAAAGGCTGGGGTGAGGGGCACACACCCACAGGTGGCTGTGGCAGTCAACCAGGTCCGCGTGCATGGGGCCCTCAGTGCTCCAAGGTGCGCTCAGCAGCAGCTGAGGGCCTGGGCAAGCCGGGTCCGAGCAGGTGACCCAGCAGGAGGCCATGAGCCAGCTTTCACTCCGCTGCAGTGTGTGCTTACAGGGCTTTCGTTTTTGTCGAGATTAATTCACGTACCGTGAAATTCACTCTGTTCGAGGGTGCCATTCTCCCTTCAGTGGGTTCACAGAGCTGTGCTCCCGGGGCTCTATGTCCGCCCCGAGTAAGGTCAGTCCTGCCTAAAACGTGAAATCTTTATCGGATCAGTGTGAATGAGGATGGTCTTGGTGGGAGTCACTCAAGATAAAATTTTTTCTAACCTGTGAGTTCATTCTTTAGCATTTTAATGTATTTTATTAAAATGAAGTATCAAAAACTTTTAAACATTGTTAGCACTGTAGAAGTTCAGTACTGTTGTGGTCAGTGTAGCTATTGAAGTAGGCTCGTGCCCCGTCAGTGGCCACTGCGCTGCTGCTGTGCTGAGGTGCACCGCCTTTCTGCCCTCTTGCAGGTTGTGGGTTGGCTACCAGTATGTCATCACCGGCCAGAACCACTCCTTAGAGGGTCACTGGGAAGTGGCAGCCTTCAAAGGTAAGGCTTTGTGATTTTTCAGAGCATTGTTGAGTTTGGAATCAGGGTCTACCATCCCAAATGGGGTGTGCTGCTAGGGTCCCCTCTCCTCCCTCCACCCTTCTCATCGGTGGTGGCCGGCCTGTAGGGGTACCTGGTTCAGGGGGCACAGAGAGGAATGGGCCGCACGTCACGGGGAGGGCTGTGATGATGGGCAGGCACCCCAGGGTCAGGCCCCTCTTCATACTGAATTCTCTCTGGACCCCTTGGTTGGCCAGATTTCTAGACCAACCAGCCTCCTTTATAGTTGAGGACTTCAATTAGGGCATAAAGAGGAGTGTACAGAGTATGCAGTTGACATGTGCCAGGGAGGGAAGAACAAGCTTTCTAAGGCCAGTGAAGTTCAGAAATCCAAAACTCAGAAGGAAAGCTGTCAGGTAGCTAATATTAAAATAGTGGAATCTGTAGGGGCCCTCCCTGTCTCCTCTCATACCTCCCACCCTCTCAGACGCATCCAGAATCTCCTCTCTTGTTGCCAGATTGCAGCCACCAGACCTATTGTCACTCACCTGCATTACTGCAGCCCCCACCACCAGCCTGGCCTCCTTGCTGCCACCCCCCCCCACCCTACCCCATCTCCTCACATGGCTGCCTGAGGGTCCTCTACTCCTCTGTCCCCGGCTGTTCATGACTCTCCTCCCACAAAGGCACTGTCCTCACAGAGGCCCTCAGTCCTTTTCCTCTGCTCTCCCCTTCCATCACTTGCCTGGCTCTCCTCTTCAGCCGCAGGGATGCCTGATCTTCCCACAGGTCACACTGTTCCCACTGCAGCCCTCCCTGGGCCACTGCTGCCCACAGTGCAGGAGGAAGCAGCATAGCCAGGCCTGCCCTGCCTGGCACCTGGGGCCCGTCTGGGGATTGGGTGGAGCCTGCTGTGCCAGGTGGCCCAGACAGGGATTTCTGGCGAACCCCTGCTTCCCTTAGCAAGTGTGCAGCTGCGATGGGCAGGGGTGGGCACCAGGCTTTTCTGAGCAGAAGGCGTGTTGCTATGCTGCTGGCAGTGACCCGCTGCTCCATGGCACCTTCCTCCCTGGAGGGCGAGTGCTGGGGAAGCCTGGCCAGGATTTTTCCCGGCTCCCCCAGGGCTGTCTCTGCCCTTGCCGCATCGCTGTCATAAATCTGAGCTATGCTGTGGCTACGGCTGAATGCAGGGCCCCTTGATCCCTAGCAAAGCAGCGAGCCTGTGGATGGTGTGAGAACCCCAATCCAAGCAGTGTCAGGAATGTCGGTGTGCCCCTCTGCCTGCGTTCTCTGCTCTGAGGCTTGCCTTCACCTCCGTGCTCCAGCTTCCTTTTTGCTGAAGCAGCCCTGACTTTCCGATGTGTGTGCTTCACTTATTCTGCTGTTCAGCATCTGTCTCCACCATTTATACTCCTCACTCAAATATCAGCTCCACAAGGCAAGCTGTTGCTGCCCAGTGCACCCCAAGCGCCTGTTACAGGTCTGGAGCTTGCCTGCCAGTATTTGTTCGTTCCCGAGGAAGAATGACCAGGAGGCTGTGTTAGATTCTTGGGACTTAGAAAAGAGGCTCAGAGGTTCATACCCCCCACCCCAACACCCCTGCACCCCCGCCCTGGCTGCAAGATGGTTTTTGATGACCTGATTCCCAGTTTGCAAGGCAGCGGCTAAGTGGGTGACAGAGAGGCTCCCTGGGGCTGGGAGTGGATCCCAGGGGGCGAGCGCTTCCCAGAAGTTCACCTAGCCAGCTGGTGGCTCTTGGTGGGTGTCAGAGCCGCGGTTCTGCCTAAATGAATGCATTTGTGGCAGACACAGTGAGCTTCTTGAGTCCTTTGTAATGGTTGATACTCTGTGGTGAGGGAGAATGTTTCCCCCCCTTCCCCTACTTATTTATGTTCATTTTATCCGTATGGACTCATACACTCCCTCTACTGTGTTACAACCCATTACTTCATTCACCCTTCGTGTGGTTGCTGTACCTTTAAACATCCCCGGCCAAGCGCAGTCCTCCTCTGGCTCTCAGCCGGCTACGGTTTGCCTGTGTGCTTGCCTCCCTGACTCCACAGGGGCATGGCCTCTGTTGGCCCGGTGCCCACACCCGTGCTCAGCAAAACTAAAGGAGACTGACTGGAAATGAACTTTGGTGGTCTTTGACCTCTCTGATTGATGGTCCCATTTAGGGGGGCCTTGGTCCCCTCGAAGACTGCCCATGGTTGGGATGTTGACATTATGTTGAAGTGGCCCTCCCTTTTGTCTCCGCCACAGGTTCCTCAAAGGTGTTCCTGCCCCCAGACCCCAAGCTCACCTCGGCCATGTCTGAAAGTGACAGCGTGCTCTGCGCCCAGCTCCACTGCTTCCACTTCCCCACCCTCCGCCACCACGACTTGCACAGCTGGCATGCCGAGAACTGCTACGAGAAGTCTTCGTTTCTTTGTAAAAGAAGTAAGCCACCTTGACCATGACTCCCTTAGTGATCTGTAAGGAACGGTGCTTCCTGTGAGAACGTGGTCTTCTGATTTCTGATCCTTGGTGTTGACCTTGAGTGGACCTGCCCGTTTTATAGCGGGCAGCAGCCACGCTGTGCCTGGCTCACAACTTCCTCTGGGGGCGATCAGGTGCCTTGAGGGTGAGGGCTGGGGCCTGGGCTGGGACCCAAGGCTGGTATGGGCCTTGCTGGTCTGCTCCTTAGTTCCGTGACCTGGACAACGGTTATGCCTCCTCGCTCTTTCTTCTCTGGTCTAGCAGAGAACGATGTTACGTGAGTTCCCTGTCCTGGAGTTTCCTAGCTGCATGAATTGTGTAGGTTTGACTCCAGTCTTCAGTGAGGCATGGACCAACGGTTGTGGGGTTTCTGAAGAGTATTTGCAGGCGTCCTTGCCCTATTTAGAAACTAGAGCCGACCTCCTTTTCATGTCCCTTTGTGTTTCTCTGAACATGCATCCCTTTGGAGACCACCTCTGCCTCATCTTAGTTCCTTTTCCAGGCATCTGCCACGTCTGCCAGCTCGAGGCTCCAAGTTCTCAGCTCCCTCCCACCTCTGGCACAGTCATTCCTCATTCCTCTAACTCCAGTCCAGGTCAGCTCTGCACAGTGTACTGATTGTGTCTCAGTGGTGGACTGAGTGGACCATCCTCCCAAGTAGTACCAGCAGCTGCTTGGGCGACTCATTCAAGAACATTCTGATTTTGCCCTGACTAGTGTGGCTCAGTTGGTTGGGCATCATCCTGCAGAAGCGAAAGGTCACTGTTTTGACTCCTGGTCAGGACACATGCTGGGCTGCAGGTTTGGTCCCTGGTCAGGATGCGTATGAGAGGCATCCAATCGATGTTCCTCTCTCTCTCTCCCCCTCCCTTCTCCCTTCTCTATAAATAAATAAATTTTAAAAAATTTTAAGACACATTTTGATTTTTAAACAGTTAATACATGCAAGCAGCTACATCTTAGAATTGAGGAACTCACAAAAGTAAACTGCTTAACCCTGACTGGTGCAGATCAGTGGGTTGGGCCCTGTCCTGCAAACTGAGAGGTCACTGGTTTGATTCCCAGTCAGGGCACATGCCTGGGTTGTGGGCCGGGTCCCTGATTGGGGGTGTGCGAGAGGCAACTGATTGGGTGTTTCCCTCCTTCTCCCTCTCTTCTCCTCTCTCTAAAAATAAATTAAAATATTTTGTTTGTTTTTTTTTAAGTAAACTGCCCAGGCACCTTAAAAGCAGACCCTCCCATGTGCTTTCCCCTGGCGTCTGGTGTTCTGCTCCGTCCTGGCCTGGCTCTCCTGGCTGTCCAGGCTCATGGCCAGGGGTGCCCTGGCAGGTGTGCTTCGGCCTAGCAGAGTGCTGCAGTGACCTCCCTGGAACAGCCACTAATGGGAGGGTTTTCTGGCCGACCGTGCCAGCTCTTCTGTTGTCCCGCTTGTGGGGTGAGTCAGAGCTGGTCCTGCTGGTGACACATGTGTTTGTGTTTGTGTGTGTGTGCACGTGCGCCACTGCAGGTCAAACGTGTGTCGACATCAAGGACAACGTGGTGGATGAGGGGCTCTACTTCACCCCCAAGGGCGACGACCCGTGTCTGAGCTGCACCTGCCATCGCGGGGAGCCAGAGATGTGTGTGGCTGCCCTCTGCGAACGGCCGCAGGGCTGCCAGCAGTACCGCAAGGACCCCAAGGAGTGCTGCAAGTTCATGTGCCTGGACCCAGGTGAGACGGATGGTGGGTCACAAGTCAGCCTCCCTATGCAGGGCCAGAGGCTGCATGACCTGTCGCTTCCTCTGTGGCAGGGACCTGTGAGAGCTCACGGCACACAGTATAGCCAGAGTGGCAGCATTTGCACATGAAGCTGTCTCACCGGCTGTGATGGGCAAATACTGCAGCGAGCACATGTCTCTCTCTCACAACCTGGCCTCCGCTAACTGCTGCCTTGCAGGTGGGCTCTCTGGCCACAGGTGTCATTCACTCACCGATGAACTCGAGTGTGGCTCTGTGTTCCCAAGTCAACTGTACTGATGTCTTCAGGCCTGTCTTTCTCTTCTCACTTTAAGACTAAGAGCAAGACTTCCAACCTGCGTCCCCATTTGAGTCCTTTCTGTTCTCAGTATGGTGATGTGGTAGATAACGACAGTTTTCATTGCTTACAGTCACCATCAGTTTTTACTGTTAGAATCTGTGAGAAAAATAATAAATCATTACTCTCATTTTCTTGATTAAAACCCCCCACTAGGTGGCACTTTGCGGGTGGACACTATGCAGCCATGTAGTCTCTGAGTGACATTCCTTCCACTTCCAAAAACAGCAGTGAGTGGGGCTTGTGCTCTGCGGGGTCATTAGGACGCATCCGACTTCATGCAGGGTGCTGGGTGGTTCTCCACACCAGCACAGTTGGCGTCTCTATGAATTCATGATCCCAGGAGAAATGTAAATCAAAAGCATGAATTTGGTTTTTCTTGGCTGCCACAGTACAAGAGTGGGCAGAGGCTGGAAGGCCCTGAACTCACAGACTCGACAGAAAAGCAGCGTGGGTGGGGTCCCTGTGGAAGAGGGGCTGGGTCAGTAAGACACGGAGCTGGCGCAGGAGGGCCACAACCAGAACTCTTCCCGAGTGGAGAGTCGTCTGTGCCCTCGCACACGAGGAAGGCTGCTGGCAAAAGGGCAGGGCAGTGTCAGGCTGCCTCGGGCTCAGCAGAAGGGGGTGCCCCCATCAAAGGCACACAGCTGGCTGCGGAGAGGGCAGGGGCCGTGTAGGACCGGGCATATATTGTATAAGCACGTGTGGCCTGGGGAGCTCTTCCATCTCTGAGGATCCCTGAGCAGGGCCCTCAGGGCATCTGGCCAGGCCCAGAGGTGCTGCAGGCCACTCCCTTGTGTAGCCAGAGCAGCTCAGCCAGGGCCCAACCCTGCCCCTTGCTTCAGCCTTATTTCTGCAGGCTCCTGACAGCCTCCCCAGTTGAGTGCCTTCGCCTGGGAAGTGCCTGCACTGCCCCAAGGGTAGGGGGGCTGCCACCACACCCAACACTGGGGACACTGGGACAGTGTCCATTTTAACAAAGTAGGAGTGTCTGCTCTCACTACTCTGTCCAGAGTTGTACAGGATATCAGGGGCAATACCAGAAAACGGAAACAAGTCCAGATCAGGAAGGAAGAGAGGAAATGACCTCACTTTGTAGACAACATGATTGCCTGCATGGACAGTCCCAGAGGATCTGCAGGGAACCAGTAGCTGTATTTAGCAGGGTGTCCAGGTACAAGGCCAGTGTACAAAAACCCGTTGTGTTCACATATGCAGGATGGGGCAAGAGCAGGTTTACAGTTGTGAGTGTGCAAAACACATTTTATTCTTGCGTTATTACTAATATTTCTTACAAACACCTGTAACCACCTTTTGCCCTACCCTGTTCTACCTGTGAACAGTTGGAAATCAAAATTTTAAAAAGAGTATCATTTACAATAGCACCAAAAAGCATGAAATACTTTGATACAAATCTTACAAAGTATGTGCGCCATCTCTATGCTAAACAATAAAACACTGATGACCAAAATCAAAGATGTAAATAAGAGAGATATTCCACAGTCTTGGATCAGAAGACTTGGTGTCATTAAGAGGTGAACTCTTCCCAAGTCATCTGTAGGTTCAGTGCTGTCCCAACCAAAATGCCAGCGTGCTTTTTGTAGGCATTGACAAGTTGATTCCTTTGCTTTCCCATGTAAATCTAAGAATTAGAATAGCTAAGCATTTTTTAAAGATTTTGTTTATTTTTAGAGAGAGGAGAAATAGAGGGAGAGAAACATCAATGTGTGGTAGCCTCTTGTGTGCCCCCTACTGGGTACCTGGCCCACAACCCAGACATGTGCCCTGACTGGGAATCAGACTGGTGACCCTTTTTTTCCCAGTGCAGTGCTCGATCCATTGAGCCACGCTAGTCAGGGCTCCAAGCATTTTGTTTGTTTGTTTGTTTGTTTTGTTTATTTAGAGAGACAGGAAGAGAGGGAAACAAACTTCAATATGCCAGAGATACATCTGTTGGTTGCCTCTTGCACGTCCCCTGCTGGGGATCCCGCCTGCAACCTAGGCTTGTGCTCTGGCTGGGAATCGAACCTGTGGCATTTTGGTTCATAGGCCTGTGCTCAATCTGCTGAGCCACAACAACCAGGGCAGCCAAACAGTTTTTTTAAAAGAACAAGGCTGCCCTGGCTTGTATAGCTTAGTGGATTGAGCATAGGCTGAGAACCAAGGGGTCACCAGGCCGATTCCCAGTCAGGGCACATACCTGGGTTGCAGCCCAAGTCCCCAGTGGGAGGTGCATGAGAGGCAACCATACATTGGTGTTTTTCTCCCTCTCTTTCTCTCTAAAAATAAATAAATAAAATCTTTAAAAACAAAACAAAACAAGGTTGGTTTCATGGTACCTGGTTTAAAATTACTATACGATCATAGTAATCAAAATAGTGTGGTATTCACAAAAGAATGGATACGTAGATCAGTGAGACAGAACAAAGAGTGTAGAAGTGTTGCTACACTTACACAGTCAGTTTTTATCTGACAAAGGTACACAGACAACGTTTTTAGATATGACATCAAAAGTATGGCCCTCAAAAGAAAAACTGATAAATTAAACTTCAGTAAAACTGAACATTTTTATTCTTTGAAAGATATTTAAGGAAATAAAAAAATAAGCCACTAAAGAAAAATATCTGCAAAACCCAAATCAGACAAACGGTATTGTGTTCAGAGTATATAAACGAACTCTTAAAAACTCAGTAATAAGAAAACAAGTTACCCTCCGGGGGCTCCCGGTCAAGATGGCAGGTAAGAAGATGCAGTGCTCCTGTGCTCCCACAGCCGCGTCACAACTACACATAAACTGCGGAATAACCATTATGGGGAACTGCCTGAAACCTAATTGCACAGAAGTCCCATTACTAGGGATTTAAAGAAGCTGAGTCAAGACTGGCAGGAGGGGCAGAGACAACTGAATGGACGACTTCCAGAGCCGTGTGTGGCAGTTAAAAATTGGGATGCCTCAGCTTTGGAGGTTTTCCCAAGGAGCAAGAGTTCCTGCCCCATACCAGGCTCCCTAGCCCAGTGTTCTAGTGCCAGGGAGAGAAGTCCCCATACCTGCTGGCTGTGAAAGCCAGCGGGGATTGTGGCCGAGTTAGGTGGAGGGCTTCTGGAGTCCCCGGCGTTCCTCTGCAGGGGCTCACACAGACTGACTTTGACTCTGTGCTCTGAGCTCCAGCACTGGGGCAGGAGTTCAGAAGGTGCTGGGGATAAATGGGGACAAAATGAATTGTCTGGTTTGGGGGCAGGGACTGGAGGGGCAGCTTTCTCCCAGACAGAAGTGCTGGCAGATGCTGTTGTTCCTTTGCTGTGCCCTCCCCACACAGAGCTAGCAGGCTAATGCCAGTCTGAGTCTCCATCGACCAGGCCAACACAGTGCAGCCCATCCTGGGAACCCCCTGAGACCCTACCCTGTCCAGCTTGCGGGCCCACCCACGCCATTCTTAGTGGCTTTTCCATATAAATGGCCTGTCTCAGTTCATTGCTAAAATCTCAAAGATCCACACAAAACAAGCAAGCAGCTTCTGGCTTCAGCATGCTTTGTGCCTCTTGCTAAGCAGCCCGAAGTCCAGCATTAGCAGCATCCAGCCTCAGTTCCCATCTTGGCCCCTCCCAGGCACCTCTGGGCCCAACACAAGTGGCAGCCATCTGCATATCATTTTGTAGCTTATCCTGGGTGGCGCTGGGCAGGGATACCTCGGCCTGTACCTCCCAGGAAGCCCCAGAGCCAGCAAACCCAGTAGGTAACTTCAGTCAGAGCACCACCCAGCCACCTGCACGAACAACACATTTAAGTGAGTTCTGCTCTGTGGGGTTGGCCCTTGCACTGGTTGTGGCCAGTCCTCATGGCCTGGGGGTAAATCCATCCCATTGACGTGCCAACAGTCATTAAGGCTCAACTACAGTGGATGCATACAGCCCACTTGGGGGTGAGGGGGTGTGAAGTGCCTCCGCTTGGGTGACCTGGGAGAATGCACCTCTGGGCCCTACAGCACAACTGCTACATAAGGCTGCTCTACCAAGACTGGGAGAGGGAGCAGCTCTGCCTACCACACAGAAACAAACACAGAGGCTGCCTCTGTGGGGGAGACAAAGAAGCATCTCAAATGAAAGAACAGAATAAAACTCCAGGAAAAGGACAAGCAAAATGGAGACAAGCCATCTACCAGATGCATAGTTTAAAACACTGGTTATAAGGAGGTGGAATGAACTTAGGCGAAGAGTAGATGAACTTAGAACTTCAGCAAACATAGAGAAAGAAATACAAGAGTCAGAAAAGCAGAGTATAATAACTGAAATGAAGCCTACGTTACAGGAAACCAAAAGTAGAGTAGATGAAGCAGAGGATCATATTAGTGATTTGGAAGATAAAGAAGCAGAAATGCCCAATCGGAAAAGGAAATTTTTCAAAAAAAAATGGGAATAGTTTAAGGAGCCTCTGGGACAACTTCAAGTGTACCAACATTCACATCATGAGTGTGCCAGAAGAGAGAGAGCAAGGAGTTAAAAACCTACTGGAAAAAATAATGTCAGAAAACTTCCCTACCCTGGTGACAGAAGTAGACACCCAAGTCCAGAAAGCACAGAAAGTCCCAAACAAGATGAACCCAAAGAGGCCCACACCAAGACACATCATAATTAAAATGCCAAAGGTTAAAGACAAAAAGGAATTTTTTTATTGATTTTAGAGAAAAATCAACTTGTAACCTGGTGTATAAGGACACTAACCAACTGTGCCACGTGGCCAGGGCCTCAAAGAGAAAATACTAAAAGCAACAAGAGAAAAACAGTTATTTACAAGGAAGGTTCCTTAAGATTTTCAGCTGTTTCTCAACAGAAACTTTGCAGGCCAGAAGGAATTGGCATGAAATATTCAAAGTGATGAAAAGCAAGGACCTACAGCCAAGATTACGCTACCCAACAAAGCTTATTTAGAATCATAGGACAGATAAAGAGCTTTCCAGGCAAGAAAAAGGTAACGAAGTTCATCACCACCAAAACAGTGTAATGAGAAATGTTAGCATCTTCTTGAAGAAGTGGGGGAAAGGATTAAAAGTATGAGTAATAAAATGCCAATAAATACATATCTATCAATAATTACTTTAAATGCAAATGGGTTAAATGCCCTAATCAAAAGACATGGTCACTGAATGGATAAGAAAATAAGACCCTTACATATGCTGTCTGTCAGAGAGTCATTTCAGACAGAAAGACACACACAGACTGAAAGTAAAGAGGTGGGAAAAGATACTTTATAAAACTGGAAATGAAAAAAAAGGCTAGGGTAGCAGTACTTACACCAGACAAAATAGACTTTAAAACGAGACAAAGAAGGACCTAGCAGTTCCACTTCTTGGTGTTTATTCAAAGAAACCAAAAGCACTAAATTGAAAGACATGTGCATCCATGTATTTACTGCAGCATTATTTACAATAGCCAAGATACGGAAACGGCATACCTGTCTGGCATGGATGAGTGGATAGAGAGGTGGCGTGTGCATACAGTGGGGTGTGGCTCAGCCATAAAAGACAGAATGAAGTCTTGCATCTGCAGCCACATGGATGGACCTGGGAATATTGTGCCAAGTGAAATAAGTCAGGGAAAGACCAGTGCCTCATGGTTTCATTTGTATGTGGCATCTAAAAAGGAAATAACAAGCAGAACAGACGGACTCATAGATACAGAGAAGATTATGGGAGGGAGTTGGGGAATGGGTAAACAGGTGAGGGGATTACAAATACAAATTGGGAGTTGCAGAACAGTCACGGGGAATGTGAAGTACAGCACAGGGAACATGGTCAACAATATTATAAAAACGGGGGTGTCGGATGGGGACTAGATTTATCAAGGTGATCACTCTGCAAGTTACGTGAATGTCTAATCACTGGGTTGTATACCTGAAACCAATATAATGTACGTCAACAAGTTGAAAAATAAATATTTCAAAAACGAAAACAACCTACCCTCTTAAAAATGGGCAAAATATTTAAAATGACACCTCACCAAAGAAAATGCAAGTCGGCAGCCAAGCAGCTGAAAGGATGTTCAGCAGAGGTCCTTAGGGAACCAGCGCGCCCACGCTGGCTCCATGGCTCATGGGTGCTCGAACTGCACGTGACCGCCTCCTGTTGCAAGGGTGCCCCGCTGGGCAGCAGCCTGTAGCAGAGCACACGTTAAGGTTAAGGAGACGGGCCTCTGATTCCTCCTAAACTTGCGCCCCATCTGCTGTCTCCAGAGATTTGGAGCTGGCTCCACGTCAGAGTTCAGTGACACTGTGGAGCTCTTCACATCCAGCCTGGGGAGGAGTCATCCCCAGGTGACTCAGACATCAGACCAACCGTCAGGCCTGGTGGACTCGGGCACCTTTAGTTCCAACAACGTCCACCCTAGTAGGATGTGTCATCTGTGGATTCGAGAGCTCCATGAAAGGACCAGCCACATTATGGGTCACAGGAACCCCTGGACTGGCCTCTGGCTGCTTGGAAAGGGCTCTCTCCTTCGTGTCTGACTGCACATGGTTGGTTCTAGGACATGCCTCTTCCTGGTGACCACTGTAGAAAGATGATCAAGGACCTAGACCGTGTCCTGGGGTTTGTTTTGGAACTAATGAAGAGTTAGTTATTGCAAAGGGGCTGCTATGTGAGGTGCCTCACTGGCATCGCTGAGCCAGCTGCCAGCTAACAGACATGTCAGCACCCCCAGGCTGGCGGGCTTCCTCCCGGGGCAGGGATGAAGTGTTCCCTTGAAACTGGGAGAGGATTAAAGGCCTCACAAAAAAGGTGATAGGTGAGAGGATGTATCCTTTCCATGTGCTCACTTCTAAAGTGTCACCAATAAGGCAGCTTTGGAGGAAGCTCTCTGGCCCTGGGAGTGTAGGGCAGGGGTGAGCTCTAGCCACCTGCACTGGCACAGAGCAGGCTGGGCTGGCGAGAGCGACCGGAGGGCCCTGGGAGCCTGGCCTCTCACACGTGGGGCCTGTGTTGGCTGTGAAGTGTAGTTGGGGACCTGCCCGTGTGGCTGTCTCAGAGGTGAGACTTGACAGTCCTCAGCCCTTCCACCCATGCAGAGGTTTCCTGTTTCCAAGGGCTCTGAGTCACTTCTCCCCACAGTGCCTCCTGCCTGTGCCCTCTGTGGGGACAGGTATTCCCAGGACCTCTTCCTGGCTCCCAGTACTCTGTGACTTGGTGCTAGTGGCCCATCTCACCTAGGTGAAAGGACCTGGCCCTGGCTGTCACATCTAGACACCTGGCCAGCACATGTGCTCTTCCTTCACACCTCTTCCTGTGAGCATCATGGCTCAGCAGTGTCATGGTGAGCACCTGAGAAACCCCACTGAGCAGCGGGGCAAGGCAAGGTGTCTCCACCTCGGCACTGTTGACATTTGGGGCCAAACCCCCTATTTTGGGGCTGACTTGTGCACAGCAGGGTGTTGAGTGTGTCCCCGGCCGGCCTCTACCTACCAGGTACCAGTAGTACCTCGGCACACACCTTTCCCTCCAACCCCTGCCTCCCAGTGATCAAAAGTGTCTGTAGACATCGTCAAATGTCCTGCGGGGGGCGGGTACAGAGTTGCCCTGGAAAATGCTCTCAGAAATGCCGGTCCTAGAACATGGCTTCCTTGCTCACCATGCTTCCTGGGCATTTGCACGCAGCAGGTATTAGAGAGCTGCTGTTCTTGAAGGAAGGTGTTTGGTCACCCAACACAGACGGGCTGGGGGAGGCCAGGCCCCTCTCCGACACTTGCACCAGGTGGAGGAGCACGTCGCCCATGTCACATTAGAAAAGGTTTCCTAGCCCACGATCTGCTTCTCTTCTGCACTGTTACCGCAGTATCTTCAGCCCTTTTGTCTCTGCCGGGATGAGGTTGAGTCGGGCCGTGGGGTGCCTTGTCCTCGTGGCGCTGTGGTGGAGGGCCGTGACTTCTCATGGCACGGAGCACCTGAGAGCAGCGGGTTTCTTCTCTAACAGATGGGAATAGCCTGTTCGACTCCATGGCCAGCGGGATGCGCCTCATTGTGAGCTGCATCTCCTCCTTCCTCATCCTGTCCCTGCTGCTTTTCATGGTCCACCGGCTGCGCCAGAGGCGCCGGGAGCGCATCGAGTCCCTGATTGGAGCAAACCGTGAGTGCCCCAGCCCCTGCTGTGACGGTCACAGTGCAGGCCTGCCCGTGGCTGTGTCCCCAGGGGCAATGGGGACACAGGAAGCAGGAAGGGGCAGGGAGGAAGGGGAGGACACAATAGAGGGTGCCAAAAGGCGTCCCTGTCCCACCCACTCACCTGCTCCTGGGCTGAGGGCACACCTGGGGCACGAGAGCAGCTCTTTGCAGGCTCCAAAATCATAGGCCATGGGCACATGGAGGAAGGGCGTACCTCCAGTGCCAGCCAGCTCTAGGCTCTCCTCCCACGAGAGAGTAGCAGATGCCCGTGGCCATAAGCAACTTAGTGCATCTCAGCCCCCTCAGTCCAATTTGCCTGCAGCAACTTAGGCCCCCAGAAGAACTTCTGAAATCAACCTGTCTCAGTGAGCCAGCCCAGGCTCCCCAGTCCTGTGTGGGGCGGGCAGGAGAGTTCAGAATGGAGGTGGCAAGAATGCTGGGTGAGCTCACCAGCTTCAGTTAGGGGCCTTGGCACCTCCCAGGGAGCCCAGGTCAGGTCTGAAGTCGTGGGCTGACAGGTTTTTCCTGAGACCTTCCTCAGTTCTCACTGAGCTGCAGGCTGGGCAGAACTCCAAGGCAGTCATGGATTAGATGCCCAGAAACATGTCAGAGCCGAGGAGTGTGGCGAGGGCTGGAGCACAGCAGGCAGGCCTGTTGCCTACGGGTGACGGGCAGGGAGGTACCGGTGGGAGGGGCCTGGGCAAGTTCAGGGCTGTCGTGTGGGCTGCCAGGCACAGAGGTGCGACGGTTGGGGTGGCTGCATCCTGGGCCTGGGGGAGGGGGGCATCGAGTGACATGACCCTGTTGCTTGTTTCTGGCTTCCGCTGCCCAGTGCACCACTTCAACCTTGGCCGGAGGATCCCCGGCTTTGATTACGGCCCAGACGGGTTCGGCACAGGTCTCACGCCGCTACACCTTTCTGATGACGGAGAAGGCGGGACTTTCCACTTCCATGACCCTCCACCCCCCTACACTGCGTACAAGTACCCAGATATTGACCAGCCCGATGACCCACCGCCACCCTATGAGGCTTCCATCAACCCTGACAGCGTGTTCTACGACCCTGCAGGTGCTTCCCCGACAGGGAGAGGGGGCAGCCTGTCGCCAGCCACGTGGCCTGCGGGGCCTGAGGCCCAGGGGTCCTCCCCAGTACACAGGGCCGTGAACTCCACCTCTTCCAGCCTTCTGTTGCTATCTCTGGTTTTCCCCTTAAAGCGAACTGCCACTTGTCGGTGAACAAGTGCTTCCCAGGGTTGCATGTGCAGGTGACCGCTGACAATGGTCACGCTGTCCCTTGCGTCTTTCCCGGGAATACCTATTAGCAAACTACCCTCGGGAGGGAGGGAGAGCCATAAGACCCAGTCCTGGCTCTGGAGAGCTGGGGACCAGGCCTGGGCCCCCTTGGGGCAGGGCTGGCCCAGAGCCAAGCAAGAGGCTGCAAAGACATGAGCATACACGTGGTGAGCCGAAGAGACATCATGTGACAGCCCCTGGTGTCGTGAGGCAGCTCTGTGACTCGGGAAGGGACACTGGCTCTGTGATGTCGGCCGGTTCCTTGAGCACATTCCCCCCGGGCTGTGCAGCGAAGAGGGGATTGCAGGTGCCTCGCCCGCTGCCTGGCTTGTCCCTGCCCTTTCCGAGTCTGTCACTCCCTCTAACACACACATACCCCTGCCATACATCGCAGGCAGTATCCCGCCCCGGGGCAGCTGGATCTTTGCATGCCACACAGCACAGCAGGATGGCATTTTGAGGCCAGCGTTGCTGTGGTCTTCGTCCTGTTTGTTCATTTGGTCAGCTAGTACCGCCCTGGAGGGTGTGGGCAGGGGAAATCTGGTTTTGACCCCGGCCCTCAGGACATTGTCACCATCTGCTGTCAGGGAGACCCGGGTAGAACAAGCTTCCTGCCAGGGATGCTGCTGGGGGCACAGGTGTTCCACACACCAGAGGAGCGAGTGGTCCCTTGGCAGGACAGCAGGACTGCTGGGCCCGTGGGGGGCAGCCAGGAGAGGGACACACAGTGGGCCCCGGGCCCTGAGCTTGAAGAGAGCCTGTGGTGCCGAGGAGCAGGCTCTCCCAGGTGAGCGGGCTGCTGCAGACGCCGCAGGCGAGAGTTCTATGCAGCCCCTGCACCCATCACGATGTTGAGCTCTTGTCCCCATATTCCCACTGAATAACTCCCTGATGGGACGTGAGCCCTAATTCAGCCCCCACCAAGTCTGAGAGGACTTTCTCAGCCCTGCTTTTGTTCTCCTGACTCAGTCGAAGTGTGTGCCCCCACCACACACCGCCGGTCCCCTGTACCTTGCACCTCAACAGCCCGCATCTGTGATGAGGGTGAGGGGTGGGCACAGCAGAGCTGTAGCCTCAGTGGAACCGTTCAGGCAAGAGAAGCATCCCCCAGCCTGGATCCCTGCCTTCTTCCCTTGTGTCAGGCCCCCCACCTGCTAACACACCTCTGTCTCCTCCTGCAGACGATGATGCCTTCGAGCCAGCAGAGGCCAGCCCGCCGACCCCAGGGGATGGCGGCAGCGAAGGCACATCGCCCCGGTGCCTGGAGCAGCCTCTGCCCACCACAGGGGTCTCCCTGGCAGACCTGGAAGACTCAGCTGACAGCAGCAGCACCCTGCTCGTGCCTCCTGACCCTACCCAGAGCGGGACCCCCCCAGCCACAGAGTCATTGCCAGGGGGTGGCAGCCACAGCCGCGGTTCCCTCAACACCGTGGTGTAGCGGGTTCCCAGCCCACAGCCCCGAGGGGCACGGAGCACCTGTTTGCTGTCAGGAAAACTGGTTCCGAGGGGCACTTGGAGGGTCCTGCGTGAGCCTGGACTTGGCGGCACTGCTGCGCCCCCGGGGGTGTGCGTGTGCACTCAGAGACTGTGCCAGCCTTCCGGGGGAGCAGGCGCCTACACTGAGTCTCCTTGAGGGCTTCAGAACATGCGTAGTTTTGGGCCTCTGTCTTTTTCTTTTTAAACAGCAGAAGAATGACAAAGTTTGTTCATACCACCCGTTTCGGAAGTAGGGAACAAAGAGGCACTGTGGGCCTGAGCAGGGGCCAGACCACCCCGGGCTTTGGTGGGCGTGCTCACCGCAGCTCGTTGTCCAGAGGAGCCTGCCACCCCACCCCCGAGCCCCAGAGCTGCCGCCATGGTGTGCCTCGCTGGCCACTGCTCAGGAAGGCACTTGGGGCACCGGTGCGGCGTGTGGGCTGTCGGAGTTGTCTGGGTAGTGGGTCTGCTGCTGAGCAGGTGGCTCTGGAGGTGCTACAGTGGCTGCAATGGGGGTGGTCCCCCCACAGGTCCAGCTTGATATTGAGGGTGACCCTGTCCAGGCTGGAGGCTGGCCTGGAACTCTCTTCCCAAGACCCTAAGAAGGAGAGCTTGGAAGGAGGCCGAAATCTCCACTCTGTCTTTCCAGCTGGGCTCTGCAAAGCCCAGTGCTGTGCCAGAAAGCCCCACCCCTAGTCCTTTGGATTTCTCCCCAACATCGCTGTGCATGGCCCCCAGGAGGCGGCTCTGGATCCAGGCTGAGGCCGTTAGCCTTGCATGAGCGCCCTGGCCCTGGGTCCTCCGCTGGGGCTTGGGGCTAAGCCAGCTCCTCTCTTTTACCTTCTGGAGCCCCCCTCCTGTTAAATTTGCCCCCGGGCCTGGCCTGCCCCCACCCCACTTCTTTGTGCCATAAAGGGTTGTTTCTTTGGCAGGGGTGGCTGATATTCGAGTCCTAGCCTGTGTCCACCTCTTGAAAGTCCACTTCTTGCATGCCGCCACCACTGCTAGAGCCGTGCCCGGTGCCCCGTGGCTGCATGCCACCTACCTGTCCTCAGCAGCACAGGGTGCCGGGTGCCCTGCCCAGGGGCCTTTTGATTGAGGGACCCTGTTGCCTACCCCTGGGCAGTGGTCTTGTCTCCTGACACCAGGCTTTTAGTGTTTCTGAGGTTTGGAGATTAAGCGGGTTCTGTGCGATTTTTCAGCACATTCATATCTTTTCTATGTTGAATGTCGAGGTCTTTGTGTGTGTGCGTGTATCTGTGTGTGCACGTGTGTGTCCAAGTGTCTGCAGCTGGTGGTGGTACCTGGGAACTCGGTCCTCGACTTCCCGGGCCAGCCGTGGCCACATGGGCAGCACCGGGGCTGGGCCTGGGCCTCTTCCAGCCTTTCCAGACCAGCACGCAGCAAGGGAGAGCTGGCTTGCGGTGGGTGCTGCTAGGGTGGCGGACCTGGGAGGCACAGTTCAGCCCTGGGCATGTGCTCACACTTCAGTCGGAAGGCCCGTTTTGTTCTTCCAGTATGGAATGGGTTCCAGAGTTGCCCAGCAGGCCAGCTGGAGGTGAGTTTTGTCACTGAACTCCCTGTCCTTGGGCTCAGCCCATAGGCAGATGGCATCCTGGGCACATGTGCCCACACCAGCTGCCAGAAACGAAGCAGGGAGTGTGTGGTGCCATCAGCATGTGCTGCGGGCCTTGGTGCTGGGTGAGGGTCCTGTGCGGGCCCCCTTTGAAGCGACCACCCTAATGGAGCCCCATAGGGTCTGGCCCCCAAGCGCAGGGTCCCTCTGGCCCAGGCCCCAACTGTGTGTACTAGACAAGGTGGCTGGTACTAGATGTGTGGAACTGGGGGACTTCCTTTGCGAACCGAAGGACTGCTGGGGACAGGCGTGGAGAAGGTGGCCTGAAGCAGACCATGGGGGCTGCAGAGGGTGGGCGTGCCTCTGGACTGGCCAGGGCTCTGTCCAAGGCTGTCCGGCCCACTGGCATCCTCGGGCCGTGCAGAAGGCTGCCTGCTGCCCGGTGTCCCCAGGAGCGGAGCTCTGCTGGAAGGCAGTTGTGAGGGCATCCAGGGGAAACCTGTGGTCTGCCCGGCTGACCTTGGCCTCCTGTCTAGTCACCACCGTTGGTGAGATCTGGTTGTGTTCCATGGTCCAACCCTGGCTGAGACCTGTGTCCTTGTGAGAGGCGGTTTTTCCGCCCCGTGCACACCGGGCCTCGGAGGGCCGGGCCAAGGTCTTGGGAGGGGCCTCCTCCCCCGGGACCTGACCTGCCTGGTGGGAGTGAGGGTCGAATCTGTACATTGTCTCAATGCCTGTTTTTTATGTTTTCCTTTCTCTAAGGGTTTTTAGTTCGGGTTTTTGTGTTTATTTGTTTTTGTGGGTTTTTGGTTGGGTTGGCACTAATCCTTAAGATGCTGTGAGAACCATTTCATCCAAATGCCAAATAAATTTGTGTTCTGGAAGAGGAGGAGTTAGTCATTGGCATGGCCCATGTTGGGGGCGGGAGGCACAGGTGTGAAGATGGGGGGCGGGGTGGGAGGGGGCCACCTGAGGACGCCAGGGCGGGGCTTGGGGCTCTGAGACCCCTCTGTCCCTTTTTCCTCAGGCGGTGTTCCTGTCAGTAATTTCCCAGTGTGTGATGCGGGGCACCCAGGGGAGTCGACCTTGGGCAGGTCCTCGTGCTCACCTTCCTGACCCAACCTCCTGGCCAGAGCGCTGCGAGCCAGGATGGGGGGAGGACCAGGGTTATGAAAGGACCAGTGGGTCTCTTGGTGGGGATGGGAGATTCGAGGCGGTGGCGTCTCCTTCCTGGACACATCTGTGGGATGACGGTCTGTCCTGGGCACCCTGGGCGCTGTCAGCACCGTGGACAGCTCCACGCTGCCGGGTTTGGCAGCCGGGGTTTCCCCCTGTGGGGGGAGCCCCACCCTCTGAGGACTGGAGACGGGCCCAGTCACGCTCATGCGGGGGTGGGGGGGACACTGGCACCGGGTGTGCAGCTCTTTCTAGACAATGTCACCCTCTCTGTGGCCCGCACTGAGGGGAGAAGAAAGAAGAAGAGAAGACCAGAGCCCCACCTTGCAGGAGAGCCAGCTGAGGCTGGGGTCCGCTCCACAGCTGCAGAGGAAGCGCAGTGCCCCCACCCGGGCTGTGCTTCCCACAGACCCGTTGGGTGGGGTGGCCCTCGGGAGGGGGCCGTGTAGAGAGCTCCATAGCACACGAGGTCCGCAGGGGGAGCCAGTAGGAGGGCGTCCGGTCTTGGGGTATCTCACACCCACGGTGAAGAGATCTTCCACCCTCCCCATTCCAGCCCCTCATGTCAAGGACATTAGGACCCAAGGTGCCTTCCCCCTTGAATTTCTGTCCTTGGTGGTGGCTGTGCCATGTCATTCCTGGTCCCCAGCCACTATCTCCTTAACTCTAAATGGGCATTTTTATAGTTCTCACTCCTGGGATGGTTACTTGGTGGGCTGTAGGGGGTGGTCTCTAAAGCCTTAGCTCCCAGAAAAGCTGGTGATTGTTGCTGGCACGTGGCCCTGGGGAGCCTGGAGCTCCTTTTCCCCTGCTGTTGCCCCCGCCTGGGCGCCACCCCTCTAACCCACTGCGAGAGCCCACAGAATCTAGCCACGCCCCTAGCCCACCTGGCAGATAAATATACAGCCACCTGACCAGGCCCTGGGCTAGGCCCCCAGGCTCACAGGGAATTTTCTTTGCTGCAGCAGCCTCTAGTGGGACACAGGGTCTGGGCTTTGTCCCACACCACCCCTTGTCTGGCCCCAGACCCTCGCTCGGGGCTTTCCTGGGCCTGGGGCTCCACCTCTGGCTCTGGCAGGGACCCTAGAATTCAGACTTGACCTTGTTCCTGAAATAAACAGTACACACAGTGACCTCGGCTTCACGTGGCCAGAGACAGGAATGTGGGGGGGGGGGGTGATAAGAACACACGGCCTCTCCCACAGACCTGGGATTCTCAAACCCACAGAGGCCATATGTGCTTGTTCGTACAAGGGGGAGACCCCCGCATGACCCTCCACCCCTACCCCACCCCTACAGGTCTCAGAACCCCCAGATCTGTCTCGGAGGAAGAAGGTGCCCCCATTCCCAACCTACACATTCTGTCTGAATCCCCTGGTCAGACGGAAGGAAAAGAGCAAGTTCTAAAAGCACCACCTGCTAAAGCCTAAGATTACACATTTTATTTCAAAGACGAGCTGGTGCCCACCCTGCGTCACTGTGAGCGGTGAAACGAAGACCCCAGGCAGTTTCCTGCGGACCAGGAACGCAGAAGCGCTGGCCCCAGAACCCACTGCAGGCTGCCCTGGGGGGTGGGTCCTGGTGACAGAGACAGCTGGTGAAACTGCACCCGGTGGCGCTCTGGGAGGTCAGGCTGTGGAGTCCTAGTGCACACGACACTTTATGAAGAGACACTGGTGTCCAGGTAACTGCCTGTGGCAGAACTAAGTGGAGGGGTCAGTGTCCAAAGCAAAGCCAAGAGTGCGTGCAAGTGGAGCTGTCGACCAGATGTGGCTGTGCCCCGCCACGCTGTCCTCCGGGAGGCTGGGTCTGGCGGACAGCAGAGTGAAGCTGGCCGGTCAGGCTGCTGTCCAGCTGGTGGCCTGTGGACTGTGGCTGTACATCAGGGTGACACTGGTCTGAGTGATACTGTGTTCAGGTGACAATGTCCCAGCAGCCCACCTCTCCCGGGTGTGTGGTGCTTGCTGTGTGGGTCATACTTCTTATCTCAGTGCATGGAGGCCCTGCCTCCTCCCCAAGACTCTTAAAGAAAAACGAACCTGCAACCCCTCCTCCTAGCCCAGGAGTCCTACCTGCTACAAGCCCTCGGCTCTCCCCAGAAGCTGGCATACGCTGAGACCAGATCTTCCCCCAGCTCTAAGGCCAAAAGGGGCTCCACGCCCCTTCCAGGCGGGATTCCATCTCCGGAAGTGACCGCTGCGCTGAGCCATCCGCACTCCCCTGACGCCATCCGACCGCCACACCCGAAGCCGGAGTGCCAGCAGGCAGTGTTGGAGGACGCTTCCTCTCCGAGCTAGTTCCACGAGGGGGCAGATCTGTCCATTCGCCCCTCTGGCCAGTGGCGCCTCCAGCTTGGCCCATCCTCCGGGCGGCCGCCCTCAATCTCCGCCACCCTGTGAGGCCCCTGGGGGCACCGGCGTCTTCTTGAGGTTCTTCCGGGCAGGGGCCCGGTTCGCGCCGCCATTGGCGGGGCCGTCCGAGGGGTCGTCAGTGGGCCTGGTGGCCGCGGCCAGGGCGTTCACCGTGCCGAGCGCCCGCAGCAGGCTGGGGCCTCGGGGCGCGGCGCGAGGCTCACGGCGAGCAGGCGGCGGCTGGGGCGGGGCGGGCAGCAGTGCGCGCAGGGCTTCCAGCTCTGCCCGCAGCTCCCTGCGCAGCGCTTCCAGCCCAGCACCCAGCTCTGCGCGCACGGCCGCCAGGCCCTCCTGCAGCCGCCGCTCGCTCACCTCCAGGACACCGGCTGGGTAGGTGGCCCCGATGCGTGGCTCCCCGCACACCGAGCACACAGAGCCTCGGCTGCCCGTGCCCTCCTGCTCCCCGGCCCCCGCCTCTCTGGCCCCTGCCCCAGCCGCTGCTCCCGCACGCTCCACCAGCCGCAGCAGGCGGGGAGCATCGGTCCGCGCCTCTGCCTCAGGCCGGAGCTGGCCTCGCAGGCGAGCCAGGCGGCCCGGGGCGCGGGCTTCTTCAGGGACCGGCCCATTGGGCTGAGGCCCCAGGTCCCGCCGGCGGTCCACGCCGCGCCGCATTGCCGTGCTCGCGCCGTATGTGCTGCGAGCCTGGGCCCACGAGCGTCCGGACTCCGCCGCCATGCATGCGTGCTGTTGCCGCCACCACAGGCTCCATCAGCGCCCAGCTTGGCCGGGAGCCCCAGTCCGCAGCCTAGCGACTACTGGGGCCCGGGCAACACGCAGTGGAGAGGACCCTCGGGAAGGCTGTGGGAACATCCGAGGCCTCAAGGGATCCTGCCTGGGGCTGGGAGAACCCCGGCAAGGCCCAGACCCCAAGGGGCCCTGGGAGGGGCAGCGGCGCAGGCGACTGTGTTGAACTTGTTCCCCGGGGATGACCTGCTGGTGGGTCCCAACAAAGGGCCTGGACCAGCTTCTGGGCAGAGGTGACGGGAACCAAGCTCACACCCTCTACCTCACAGTCAGGGGAAAGCAAGTGTGGTCATGCACCCAGCAGCCCTCCTACAGGCTGAAGCCACCTCTTTCCGTATCATAGTCCAGGCCACTGTTACCTCCCTGCTCCGCGCGCACCCAGCGCAGGAATCCTCATCACGGGCACTTCCATTCAATTCAAGCTCTTCTGTGGTTTCCGTTGCTGTTCGTGGTGCCCTGCACTCAGGAGGGGCTGGAGGTCACAGCCCATCTCCCACTGTGGGGCCACATCTTTTTTAACCTCCTCTAACCTGACAAGCTTCTACACCTCTCTGGGTCTTTGCTTAGGCCGGTTCTCCTGCCTAGAACGCCCTGCACCCCCACTTGCCTGGTGGACCTCATTCATCCTGCTTCTACATGCCTGCCTTCCTTGACCACCCCACACTGACTAGGTGGTCCTCAGGCACCTCACCCCAGCACCCCTCACACTGGGTTTAAGTGGCCTTCTGTTCTCTGTCCACCTGGATCCACGGAAGAGTCCCTGAGCACGGGCTGGGCCACGTGGTACTCAGTGCCGCTAATCGTGCTGAATGCTGGATGAAGGAGCAGATGGTTGGAGGAGTCTAGGGTGAGGGTCCTCTGTGAAGCGGGCCTCCTCACCCCCTTCCCCACCCACCCAGGGAAGCCTGTGTGCTTGCTCCCTCCACCTGGCCTTTGAGGCCCTTAGAGCCATCCGTGCTGCCTTTTCTGTCCCTGCTACTTTCTGTGGGAGCCCCTCTCCACTGCACCCTGTCCTTTCTCACCCCCGTGCCTGGCACCTTCCCATGATCAGTGCTGCCCATGACAGGGCTGGGGCAGTGCAACTGTGGGCCCCTCTGGAGGGCAGTATTCCCACCCCGCATGTTGTTCTCAGTGCACCCCAGAGGCTAGTTAAGGCTCTGGGTGCCATGGGGCCTCCCCAGCAATCGTGGAGAGGGAGGGCCTGGCATGGCTCCAGGCTGGGCTGGGATCCCAAGGCCCACGGGGGCCCAGCCTTATTCAGCTCCGTGGTGGTGTGGGGCGGAGGCAGAGGGATCCTATGGGCCCAGTTCACTGGCAGACCTGGCCCCAGCCCCTGTGAAGAGGCCTATGTCCCCTCTATTTGTTAGTTGATTCACTCATTTGTTCGCTGCGGCCTGTCTCTCTGGAAGGTGCAGGGGAGGGGACAACTTGGCCCTCCATCAACCCCTCTGACCGCCCTGTTCCTGCTGAGTCACCTGGCCTGCTGGGACCTCCAGCATCTGGTTCTGCGTGGATCCCTGGAGCCTCATTAACCATCCCCTGCTCCCTCCCCCAGTAATTAAAATACTGCTGGCAAAAGAGCCCTCGATCCCCACCCCAGGCTGTGGAGCCAGGCTGTGCGCTCTGTGGGCTCTGCCCTCTCTGAGCTCAAGTGGAGTCCTCGTCTGTGAAATGAAGGAGTCCCCTAAGATCCTCAGAAGGGGTTGACCAGGAGGCCGGGAGTGTGGGAGAGGGCCTGGGAGAAAATCCAGAGGTCCTGACCAGCAGATGTGGCTGAAAGTCGGGAGGGGCGAGGTTAGGCTGCCAGGGCCCCTGGAAGTTGGCAAAGAGGCCTTGCAGTCTCTGGCTGTGAGGCCGATGGGGGGGCTAGGGGGGCGGGGCATGGGTGATGGGAACAAAGCCTCTGCAGTAAGGAGCTCAGGTTCCCGCTGGGGCTGGAGGCTCGTGGTGGAGGGTCCTAAAGCCACAAGTGTAGAGAAGGCATTGCACAGGAGCAAGTACAGAGTTGGGAGGGCTGCCAAGGTATGGGTGAGGGGGGAACGGACAGGTGTGGTTAACATGACCCTGACTGAGCCCCTGAGGTCAAGTGCAGTCAGGATGGAGAGAGAAGTAAGTTGTGACCTGGTCCGAGCTTCAAGGGTGGAAGGGCAGGGGCAGAAGCTGAGGCCTGGAGGCAAGGGGGTGGGTAGGGGAGCCCTCCTCCGGGCTGGCTGGCTAGAGCTGAGGTAGGTGTGGTCCCCCTGGGGCAAGAAGCAGGGACAGAACTGCTTTCAGGGTCCTCCTCGGAGCTTCCCACAGCCCAGCGGGTTCCTGCAAGGAGGAGCTGACTGGGGCCCAGCTCCTTGCCAGTTTCACTGCCTCTCTTTATTCCCAGGGCCAGGGCCCAGGCCGGCGGGGGGTGGGGAGGCTGGTTGTAAGAAGCCATTAGCACCCAGGACTGTCTCCAGCCTGTCCCCCAGCATTCAGGCCATTAGGGCCTTGCCATCCATTAGCTCATTAACAGTGGGGGCCTCGGCAGGGCAGAGGAGAGAAAGCCCTGGGGAGAAGAGGGGCTTAACTGCTGTCACTCTTGCACTCCATGGGCCATTAAACCCTGGCTGCCACCTGAAGGGGTTTTACTTCCAGAACCTGAGAGCACTTGGGAGCCAGGAGAGAGTTCAGTAGGCAAAGCCAGGCAGGCTTTGCATGTTAAAAGGCTCTGGTGGCCTCAGAAGGGGCAGGGGAGCAACTGGTGGTCCCCTGTGAAGCGGGCAGGTGGAGGTGTGGGTGAGGTCCCTGAAGCTGGTGAGGCAGCACCGGGCAGCGTCTATGTGAGAAGCGGGCACACAGGGGCCTGAGGGGTGAGGTAGACGGGACCTCTGTGCAGGTCACAGATTCTCAGACCTGCCTCTGAGGGGGACCCCCAGGGGAGCAGGGGGCAGGGCCTGCCCTGAGCAATCAGCCACCAGGGTCGGGTAGAGGTTAATCTTGGATCTGGTGCTGGAAGGGCGGTGTGGGCTGAGGGTCTGGGGTGGGGGCTGCCGCTCTCCCTTCTGGTCTGGACCCTGACCCTCAGCACAGACGCCCAAGTACACGCCCCCACCCATCCACCACTGCAACTGTGCCACTCACTCCAGGGGACAGACTGGCTGGGCCTTTGGAGGGTGAGTGAATGAGGCCAGCTTGGCCAGGGCACAGACCCTGCTCACAGGGCGCTTAGGAAGGGAAGACTGTCCTGCCGTTTGTGTCCCCAAAGTGCAGGCCGTATGGCAGGGCCTCAGCCAACTCAGCCACAAGGTCCTTGCTCAGGACTCAGTTCTGGGCTAGTTCTTCCTGTCCTACCTCTGACCACCCTGTTGCCTCCCCTCAGTTTTCCTGCCTATCAGACCCCAGGATGAGCCTGCTGGCCAGGAGATGATAAGGGTGGGTGGCAGAGGTGACGCAGGCTGGGAGGACAGGCAATGGCCGGAGGCCTGTGACCTAAAGGGCAGGTCTGTCAACTCTGGAAGGGCCTGAGCTGCAGATGGCCTGTCTGTTAAAGGAGGGGCCAGAGAGGGGAAGTGACTGACTCTAGGTCTTATCACAAGGCCCCGGGCTTCCTGTGGGGGCTGGACTCCTCCGGCACACCTTGCCCCTGAGCAGCCCCGCCCACCAGGCCCTGCAACTGTGCGCTGGCCTCCTGGAGACTCTGGTATCTAGGTGTTCCCTGGGGACTGTCCTGGGTCAGGGGGCTTCTGTGGGAGGGCAACTCATTGCCTAGTAATGGCCTAGCCTGACCTCAGAAATGAGCTCATTACCTGATGATGACCTTGTTTTCCTGGTCCTGGCGTCAGCAGCCCTAGAATGTCTGGCCTGGGGAGGCTCTGACCAGTCTGGGCCAAGGCTCCTAACCTGCCCCAGATGGGCATCAGGCCTTCCAGCCTCCGTGTGTGCCCTGAGGGCCCAGACTGGCTTCTGGTGGAGCCAGAAGCTAGCCCTCTGACCAGTCTCTGTCTCATGCTCTCGCTCACAGAGAGGGCAAGAGAGCGTCTGTGTGGGGAGGGCTGCCTTAGAGGGACATGCCTGGCCCACACAGGGGTCCTCAGGGCTCCCCTCATCCAGCCAGCTGGACTGGTCTCATGTCAAGGCCGTCCACACGACCACTGGCGCCTGGGTTGATGGCATCCTATCGTTCTCCGGGTGGGGCTGGGAGGAGAGTCCTCGAGAGCTGCCAAGTCAGCCTGCCCCATTAGGGTCCCCTCCACCTCCCTGTGGCCAAAGGTCACTGCTCTGTTCCCTTCTTTGATCTCTTAGCAGCACCGAGGCAGCTGGCATCCCTCCTGGTTCTGCGTCCCATGCCGCCCCTCTCCATTGGGTCACCACACTCTCACCTGCCTCACTTCTCCAGGCCTCAGGTTCACCCTTGCCCTCTCAAAGCAAGCCTGTTACACCTGTCGGATCAGGGCCTGGGCCAGATAACGCAGTTCCTTACGCATCACCCTGATGCGCCAGGATTGTGAGTTTGATCCCCAGTTAGCGGATGTATAAGAATCAACTAATGAATGCATAAATAAGTAGAACAACAAGGCAATGTTTCTCTCTCTCTCTCCCCCTCCCTCCCTCCGTCTCTCTCTCTAAAAAGCTGACAAAGCTTATTAAACTTATGTTACAATTACTTTATACTTCAGTTCCCCCACTGAAATTTCTTTCATTACGGAGATTTAGCATCTTTATTTCAGGCTAAGAAATAAGAAATGGAACCATAGATTCAAATCGGAAGCAAACTACTTCTGAAGAATTTTCCCATAGAATAGTAGAAAAAGTCAAACCAGATGACATTTTGTGTCACCCAGATGAAGCCTCGGGTTTTAGCAGCTACAGGGAGATTCTCATCAGCGAATCCACCAATTTGAGTGGAATCACATCCTGTGTGGTCTTTCGTGACTGGCTGCCTTCACTTAGCATGTTTTCAAGGTTCATCCAGGTAGTAGCAGGTATCAGTACTTTATTTATCTTTATTGGTGGATAACATTCCGTTGGATATTCACATTTTATTTACACATTAAGCATTTGATGGACCTGTGGGTCGTTTCCACTTTTTGGCTGTTATGAACAATGCTGCTATGAACTTTCATGCACAGCTTTTGGGTGGGCACATGTTTTCATTTATTTTAGATATATTCCTAGGAGTGGAATGAGGGTCATATGATAATTCGATTTTTAACTTTTGAGGAACTGCCCGACTGTTTTCCAAAGCATTTGAATTATTTTCTATTCCCACCAGCAGTGGATGAGGGATCCCGTTTTTCCACATCCTTGCCACACATGGCATTATCTCTCTTTTTGATTGCAGGCAATCCAGAAGGTGTGAGGTGGTACCTCCTCGTAGTTTTGTGCACTTCCCTGCTAGCTAATGATGCTGAGCTTCTTTTCATGCAAATTCATCTTTGTACCACTTTTCCTGACTGTGCCCTAGATTTAATCCTTGCCTACAGGTCATTTCTTAATTTTGGCACCCTTTGCTATCTGGGAAGGCTGGGAATTTTCAAACCCAGCAGTTCTGGCTTCTTTTTATTTGAAAGTAGATTTATCTCCTTTCCTATTTTACTGTGAGCAGCAAGAAGCCAGAAGGCACCTTTCACACAGGCAGGAACTTTTCTCAGCTATATTACCTGCTTCTTTAGGTACATTTTCTACTTTCCATGTTACGGTGGGTGGCCGTGTTGCTAAACTGTCTGCCACAATTTAACAAGGATTTCCTTCTCTCTTGTTTCTTAAAACAACCTTCTCCCTTCCCTTTATATTTTTTAGATTTTGTTTATTTATTTTTAAGAAAGAGGGGAAGGAAGAAAGAAAAAGAGAGAAACACTAATTTGAGAGAGAAACATCAATCGGTTGCCTCTTGTACATGCCCCAACCAGGGATGGAACCCAAAACCCAGGAAGGTCCCCTGACCAGGAATTGAACTGGTGACCCTTTGCTTTGTGGGACGACACCCAACCAACTAACTGAGTGATGCCGACCACTGCTCCTTTTCCTTTGAGCTCTTATTCAAAGCCTCCTCAAAGACCATTAAACTTCTCATAGATCCTTCAGAGGGATTTACGCTTTCACTACCACTTTTCTCAAAGTCCTTTTTGATTCTGACCTTTTCTGGTTCCAAAGCTTCTCCCACATTTGACTTTTCATTTTCGTAGAATCCTATTTCCAAGGACTGAATTAGTTATCTGCATTAATTACATATACTACTTTTATCTGTATTGCTGTACAACAAATGACCACTAAATTAGTGACTTAGAACAACAATAAACTTGGTTATTGTATACCACGTCTGAGTATCCTGTGTTGTCCTGGCTCAACCTACCTCATAAGGTTGCAGTGGAGATGTCACTGGGGACTGGAGCATCCACTTCCAAGATCATTGTGGGTGGCAAATCTGCAGTTTCTTGCCAGGCGAACCTCTCTTCAGATTGCTGGAGTTTCCTTAGGATGTGGCCGTTGGCTTCCCCAAGAGGAAGCGATCCAGAAAGGCAAGGCTGAAGCTGCAGCCAATGTCTTCATGACCCAGCTTCATGATTCGCGTACCAGCATTTCCACAATATCCTTTTTGTCACACAAGTCAGTCATATTCATTGTGGGAGATGCTACACAAGGGTGCCCATACGGGGAGACAAAATTTATAGGAGGCAGTACTGGAGGTTAGCCACCACGGCAGGGGAGGCTTGGGCACAGCTGTGATGTGCTGATGCTGGCTGCGCAGAGCTTGTGGCCAAAACTGATCCTGGGGTCCAGGTGGCAGTATTAGAGCACTGCGTCAGGTTGGGCCACTACCCAGACCCTGAGGGTGGACGGAGGTCAGGCTCACACCTGGTGTGAGAGCAAAGCTGGAGCTTTACCTTCTCCTTCCCGCTACCCTCACCGGGGTCCCCAAGTGCCTCTCGCCAGAAGGGGCAGGGTCCCTAGGCAGGCCGCTGGAAAACCCTCTGACGGCCTACCCACCACCTCTAGCATCCGTAGAGGCAGAGACCTCCGCCTTTCTGCAAAAGTGGAAGTAGACCAGAGCCAACCTGACTCCACTGGAGACACCCACACACTGATAGGACAATTCCACGTTCCTGGGCACTCTCCTCTGGATACCCCTCCAATTAGACAAGCAGCGGCCAAGCACGCACCCACAGACTGACAACCCCAACCCCAGCCTCCAAGGTACTGCCACAGAGCCGGACCCGGGAATCGGCAGGTGGGGCGGGGCCAGAGTGCACGGTTTTTGGCCCTGGAACTACATTTCCCAGAAGGATGTGCCAGACGCTCGTCGGCGTCGGGACGTAAGAGCAGCCCAGGTGCCCCGATGCTCTCTGGGAAATGGAGTACGCTGCCTTCGCGGCGCAAAGGCTCAGGGGAATGGTAGTTTGCGTCGGATCTGCGCAGGCGTACTTTCCCACGGCGGCCGCTGGGCTGCTCCTTTGTTGTGGCAGTTGTTCTTTTGTAGGAGATCCGTCGGCTCGCTAGCGTATCCCTCCGTCCGTCTGTCCGCTCCGCAGCCTGTGTGCTGGTTGCGCTCCGCGCCCGCAGGATCTGGGTGCTTTGGGTTGCCGAGCCCCAGGCCTGCCTCGCCCCGCGCGCGGTCCCTGGGAGGAGTGTGACAGGCTGCGTGGGGCGCGGCGATGGGGCGTGCGCGCAGCTTGGGTTGCGGAGCTCCTGCTGAGCTTGCCTGGTCCCGACCTCGGCGAGGCGCAGGACCAGTGTGACCGTGCAGCCGTGAGTGCACGCGCAACCCTGCGGGGCTCCCCTACAGGCCGCTTTCCCTGAGCCCCAGGAGCAGGACCCGCTCTTTGGGCCTGGCCTGGGGCCCAGGAGGTTGCAGAGGTGCCCACGCCTCCGGGGAACGCCGCCAAGACCCGCCATGGAGACCCCTGCCCGGAAGCCCCAGGAGACAGGTACAATCGGTTTTTAGTCAGTGGATCTGTGGGTTTGCAATTGAGATTGACGCTCAAGAGAGGTCGGGCTAGTTTCCCAGGAGGAGCAGAATCAGGCCTCCTGCCTCTTCACTGTGCATAACCATTTATTTGTTCCCACTGTCTTGAATATGCTTTGAGAGGACGGAAATGGCTGTGTTTTTCCTTATTAATTGGAGGTCTGACACTGAGTGGCAGAATTAGCCCCTGATGATGTATAAGATTGTGCCAGATATTGGTGCTCGCTCCCCACTCCATCTGAGGGGGCAGTTCCTGACCCTTCTGATTCTCCCGGGTGCCAGGGGTGGGTGATTTTCAGCTCAGTCAATGCACCTGATGGTTATAGCTGAACAGCCCGCCCTTATTTCTCCTCCTCAGCTCTGTCCTCGCAGGACCCTGCTCCTCCCAAAGGGAATCCAGAGAATAAATTGGGCCAGGTTTTCCTGGAAGCCAGATCTGAGGTGAGTGGTGTCTTTTCTTCCTTCTAAACATCTTGTTCTTTATGAAGAGGGTTGGCAGCTTCCTTCCCCTGCCCAGGATCTTCAGTCATCCAAGGCTGTGCTCCCCCTTACCCCTCCCAACCCGTTTGGGGGCCTGCCCTCCTGTTCTCAGAAAGCCCTGTGCTTGGGGAACAGCTCCAGTTGAAGAGAGTCCAGGTGATGCCCCAGGGGTGGCCTGAACATGAATGTCCCTTCCAGCCCCATTCAGTTCAATGGTCAGGTCAGGTATCCAGGACCTGTGTGCCTGCACTGTGCCAGGAGCTCCGAAGAGTGATTTTAGTGGAACTCCTGCAAGTAGGTCACCCAAGATTACTTCGTTTGTCTCCACTTGAAGACCCAGGTGCTGTTTGTGGCGGCTGGTCCTTGTTTGGGGAGGGTTTCTGATGTAGCAGCCAGTATGGAACAGCTAAAGGAAGGGCTGTGTTGCAGCGCCAGGGTAAGAGTGGCGGTAGGGGCTTGTCCCTTTGTGCTGTGCCTCTGTACTGGGCACCTGGCTGGGGCCTGCATAGAAAGCCTGGAGTTTTAGAGCACGGGGTTGCGGGGGCTCAGCAAGGAATTGACCCTGGGGCCACATCTTCAGCAAAGCAGGGCCCAGGTCCCCTCCTTTCACAGAGGGGGTTGGTTCCACTGCTGAGACGGCCCCTGCCCATGACAGTGTTTAGGAGGGCGCAGTTGGTAAGGAGAGTGTGGGGTAGCCCCCTCACCTTTCTTTTGATTAGTGTTTATAGGGCATATATGTCCCTATTCTTTCACTTTTTAAATCTCTGTCTTTGTATTTAAAGCAGGTTTCTGTGGCCGGCATATAGTTGGGTCTTACTTTTTTTTCTTTTTTTAAAATATATTTTATTGATTAATCTATTACAGTTGTCGCATTTTCCCCCATTCGCTCCCCTCCACACCCCCTCCCACCCCCATCCCCCCGGTTTAGTTCATATCCATGGGTCGTACACATAAGTTCTTTGGCTTCTACATTTCCCATACTATTCTTTTCCTCCCACTGTCTATTTTCTACATACCATCTATGCTACTTATTCTCTGTGCCTTTCCCCCCCTTCCTCCTCCCACTCCCCTGTTGATAACCCTCCATGTGATCCCCATTTCAGTGTTTCTGTTCCTATTCTAGTTGTTTGCTTAGTTTGCTTTTGTTTTTGTTTTAGGTGTGGTTATTAATGATTGTGTTTGCTATCATTTTACTGTTCCTATTTTTAATCTTTTTTTCTTTAGATAAATCCCTTGAAAATTTCATATAATAAGGGCTTGGTGATGATGAACTCCTTTAACTTGACCTTATCTAAGAAGCACTTTTTCTGCCCTTCCATTCTAAATGAAAAGCTTTGCTGGATAGAGCAATCTGGGATGTAAGTCTTTGCCTTTCATGGCTTGGAATACTTCTTTCCAGCCCCATCTTGCCTGTAAGATCTCTTTTGAGAAATCAGCTGACAGTCATATGGAAACTCCTTTGTAGGTAACTGTCTCCTTTTCTCTTGCTGCTTCTAGGATTCTCTCCTTATCTTTAATCTGGGGTAATTTAACTATGATGTGCCATGGTGAGTTCCTGTTTAGGTCCAGCTTCTTTGGGACTCTCTGAGCTTCCTGGACTTCCTGGAAGTCTATTTCCTTTGCCAGAATGGGGAAGTTTTCCTTTATTATTTGTTCAAATAACTTTTCCACTTGTTGCTCTTCCTCTTCCCCTTCTGGTACCCCTATAATTCAGATGTTGGAACGTTTAAAGATGTCCTGGAGGTTCCTAAGCCTCTCCTCATTTTTTTGAATTCTTGTTTCTTCATTCTTTTCTGTTTGGTTGTTTCTTTCTTCCTTCTGGTCCACACTGTTGATTTGAGTCCCAGTTTCCTTCCCATAACTATTGGTTCCCTGTACATTTTCCCTTATTTAACTTAGCATAACCCTCATTCTTTCATCTAATTTGCAACCAAATTCAATCAATTCTGTGAGCATCCTGATTACCAGTGTTTTGAACTGTGTGTCTGATAGGTTGGTTATTTCTTCAGAGCTTAGTTGTATTTTTTCTGGAGCTTTGATCTGTTCTTTCATTTCGGCCATTTTTTTTTATTTTTTTATTTTTATTTTTTTTGGTCTTGATGTGCCCTTTACCTAGTGAGGGGCGGAGCCTTAGGTGTTCACCAGGGCAGGGTAACCCACTTCACACTGTGATGCTGTTTGTGGGGGAGGGGTCCAAGAGGGAATGGCGCCAGCTTGCTCCGCTCTCTGCGGGATTTCAGTCACTTCCCCCACGTCCCCCAAGCAAACTGGGCCTTTCTGGTGTTGATTCCTGCGTGGGTGGGCTTGTGCACATTGTAGGATCCTGTAGGTCTCTCCAGTGAGTTCTCCTGTGAGGCTGGGAGTTTCTCCCGCTGCCTCAACCCCCACAGGCGTTTTCAATCAGTGGTTTGATGCTTTATTTCCCTGTGTTGGGGCCCTGGGTTGTGTGGTCTGCCCTGCTCTCCAGTTATTCCTCTGGTTTATCTGTGCTCGAATGTGGGACCACCCACTCCGACAGCTGCTGTCTAGCCTGAGTCCCCTCCGCTGGAGTCCTCTCCGCCCCTCCTACTGGTCTGGGTGAGTGTTTCTTCTTTAATGCCTTTGTTGTCGGACTTGCATACAGTTTGGTTTTCTGTCAGTTCTGGTTGGTTTTTGTTTTTAAATTGTTGTTGTCCTTCTTTTGGTTGTGCAAGGAGGCACGGTGTATCTACCTACGCTTCCATCTTGGCCGGAAGTCTGGGTCTTGCTTTTTAAATTCAATTTGACTATCTCTAATTTTTCAATGGAGTTTGAACATTCATATTTCATTTTATTATCGGTATGGCTGGATTGGTTTACATCTGCCATTTTGCTGTTTGTTTTCTATGTTTTATAAGTCTTTTTAATTACTTTTTAAAAAATTTCCTTAAATGTTTTCTCTTAAAACTTTTTTTTCCAGCTGCAGTTGATACTCAGTATTGTTGTATATGAGGTTTGGAGGTACAGCATAGTGATGTGACATTTACATAATTTGAGAAGTATGCCCCCCCATAGGTCCAGTCCCCACCTGGCACCAACCTAGTTATCACAGTATTATTGCCTGTGTTCCTTATGCTGTGGTTGACATTCTGAGACTGTTTTGTAACTGCCAGTTGTATTTCTTCCTCTCTTTTCCACCTAGCCCTCCCACCTCCCATGTGGCAAACCTCAGTCTGTTCCCTGTATCCATGAGTCTGCATCTGAAACTAATGCAGAGTAATATTGAATGTAAACATATTTTTAAGTGAAATCGTGGTATTTGTCTTTCTCTGACTGACTTCCTGATATTGCACTTAGCACAACACCCTCTAGGTCCATCCGCACTGGTGCGGGCGGCAAGATTTCATGCTTTCTCACGGCCGAGCAGCATCCCATTGTGCACACGCACCTCGTCTTCTTTATCTAAGGGTCTGTCGATGGGCGCTTGGGCTGCTTCCTTATCCTGGCAGTTGTAAACAGTGCTGCAGTGAACATAGGGGTGCATATGTCTTTTCAAATTAGTGTTTTGGATTTCTTCAGATGAATACCCAAAAGTAGAATTGCTGGGTTGTAAGGTAGTTGTGGTTTTAATTTTTTGAGGAACCTCCATACTGTTTGCCCCAGTGGCTACACCAACTTATAATCCCACCAACAGTGCACGAGGGCTCCCTGTTCTTCACATCCTCATCAGCACTTGTTTGTTGATTTATTGATGACAGCCATTCTGACAGGTGTGAGGTAATATGTCATTGTGGTTTTAATTTGTCTTACCCTGAAGATTAGTGATGTTGAACATCTTTTCGTATGTTGGTTGACCATCTGTATGTCCTCTTTGGAGAAATGTCCATTCAGGTCCTCTGCCCATTTTTTAATTGGATTGTTTGGGGGAGGGGTTTGGTGTTAAGTTCTTTATAAGTTTGGATATTAACCCCTTATTGGCTGTATCACTGACAAATATCTTCTCCCAATCAGTAGGTTTTCTTTGCTGTGCAAAACCTTTTTGGTTTGACGTAGTCCCATTTGTTTATTTTTCCCCTGCCTGAGGAGATATATTAAAAAATATATTATTAAGAGCAACGTCAGAGAGTTTACTGCCTATATTTTCTTCTAAGAGTTTTCAGGTTTCAGGTGTTAGAATTAAGTCTGTAATCCACTTTGAGTTAATCTTGTACATGGTGTAAGAAAGTTGTCTAGCTTCCTTTTTTTGCATGTATCTTTCCAGTTTTCCCAGACCCATTTACTGAACAGATTGTCTGTACCCCATCATGCATTCTTGCCTCCTTTGTGATAGACTATTAACCATACAGCCAGGGGTTTATTTCTAGGCTCTCTATTCTGTTCCATTGATCCATGTGTTGGTTTTTATGTCAGTACCACGCTTGCTTTGATTATTATAGCTTTGTAGTATAAATTGATACCAGGTAGTGTGATACCTCCAAGTTTATTCTTATTTTTTTTTTTAAGGATAGGGCATTTTGTAGATTATCTTATTTGTTTGTTTATTTATTTAGAGGGGAAGGGTGGGAAAAAGAGGGAAAGAAACATGGATGCGGGAGAGAAACATTGCTTGCTTGCCTCGCGCGCACACCCTGACCGACCGGGGACCGAACCTGCAGCCCAGGCGTGTGCCCTGATGGGGAACGAGCCGATGTTCCCCATGGAAGCAGTGGTCTTTTGCTTTGTGGGACAACGCCCAACCGAGTCACGCCAGTTGGGGCCAGATTTATTCTTTCTCAACATTGTTTTGGCTATTCAGGGTTGTTTTATGTCTTTTTTTATTCTGTTTCTCCCTTAATGCCGTCATTTGGGGATAAACAAATACTCTTTTAATAGTTTAATAGACTCTCGCTTCCTCTGACTTTATTAGGTTGTTTTTCCTGTGCTGCCTGGGAAGAGCCCTGGCGGGCCCTGAGAGCTCATTGCTGGCGGGGTGGGATGCAAGGTGGGCTTTCCGCATACGGGGTGTGGAGACTGTCCGGCGACAGCCTGGAGGCTCCGGGGTGGGTGAGGTGCCCCAGGCGGCAGAAGAGCCTAGGAATTGAGGGCAGAAGTACAAAGGCCGTCATTTGGGGCATTTGTGATGCTTGGAACCTGAGTGACCAGGTGGGAGGAGGGGTCACCCTGCAGTCAGCAGCCAGCACTGGAGGAAGGCGGGAGCAGGTCAGGGTGGGATCGGGCCTGGGGAGGGTGGAGGGGCGGGAGCCCTGCTGGGAGGGAGGGGCGGGCGGGCAGGAAGGGTGCAGAATGGCCCCACTCGTCTCTCAGGCACAGAACTTGGTGAGGAGTGCAGCGTTTCCTTCCTTGGGCTGCTAATGGCTTTCTGTCGAGGGTCAAGTCCTTCTGCAGCGGTGAGATTACAGCAGGGTTTCTGGGTTCTTTGTGTTACTCTTTCAAGTTCTCTATAAGTCTGACATTCTCGACCCTGGTGACACAACATCTCACCCAGAACCCACCACAGCAGCCTCCCATCCCCCGAGGCCTGCACACACGGGCTGCCCGGTTAGCTGGGCCCTCCTGGTTCGGAAGGCCAGGTCCAGATGGTGGTTCCAGGCCCAGCCGTGGTGTGTACGTCGGGGCTGCACGACAGATGGCATCTACACACCCCCTTCCACACTCGGGAGATGGTCACCAGGGTTAACCCTTAATCCCGTGGAAGCGCAAACGCCGTTGGAGTCACCGCAGTCCCGGGTGACTGAGAACACACATGTCATCCCAGGAATCGGTGACTTTCAAGGATGTGGCCGTAGACTTCACCCAGGAGGAGTGGGGCCAGCTAGACTCCCCGCAGAGGGCCCTGTACCGAGACGTGATGCTGGAGAACTACCAGAACCTCCTCGCCCTGGGTAAGATGGCTCCCTGAGGCCCGGAGTCTGCGGTCGGGCATCCCGCCACACGCAGGTATTACCGAGTCTCCCCTCAGCACCCGCACTGACAGGTGCCAGGCTCCGCAGGGCGTGGGGGCGTGGTCTCTGGGCCCCAGCCCCTTGCGGCAGGGCTCTGCGGTGCCACTGGCATCCTTGCCTGGAGGTGCGGCTGGTCACAGGGCGAGCCAGAACAGGAGGGTGGATGGGGTCCTGGAAGCCCTGCCTGCCCTGCAGCTTTCCAAGGGAGCCGGAGGCGGGGGTGTGTCCATGTCTGTGGGTTCCTCAGAGTGCCTTCCTCAGTTTGGGTTCCCATTCTGAGACCCCCATCCTGGGGGATGGCACACACCTCTTGGTGCCAGCCCGCACCGCCCCGGGGCTGCCCTGTCCTCTCTGCCGGTTCTGGAGAGCGTCAGCACACAGGGCCATGCCGCCGCCTCCCCACAAGCAGGGCCTCCGGTCTGCAAGCCGGACGTGATCTCTCATCTGGAACGAGGCGAAGAGCCATGGCAGGTGCCCAGGGAAGTCCCCGGAGGGGCTCGTCCAGGTGAGAGGGGGCGCAGTGGGAGCACGTGGAGCCCCCGCCCCAGCGTCCCTCCCACCACCCCATGTGGCCCTCCCTCCACAGCCCCCTGCCCCAGCTCCATCTGCGCCTGCTCAGTGCCCCTCTAGACCCCTCCCTCCTGCCATCCTCCTTCAACACAGTGTGGAGCACTGGCCATGTGCCAGGAGCGGTGCTGGGAACGCAGCTGGAGAACAGGCAAAGACATCTGCCTTCTGTTGGCGGAGACAGGAGTAGCTTCTGCTTGTGTAGGGATATTGAACAAGCGGTGCTGTCGGGTGGCACCAGTGGAACAGATGGAAAGTGAAGCGGCACGGGGCCAGAGTGTGTGTGGCACTGGGGTCGGTCTGCTCACTGAGGAAAGGGTGGGGGCCGCCTGAGGGTGGGGAGAGGTGGGGAGACGGTTCACAGCGGGGGGTTCACAGAGGGGGCTCAAGGAAGACATCCCTTCCAGGAAGGAAACCTGGCAGAGGCTTATTTAGCTTGTAAAAAGATGTGTGTACATCTCAGGGGCAGAGAATGCATTTATAGACTTCCCTTTCCCCTTCGAACAAGGGACACTTTAAATTTAATTATCCTTTTGGACTTGTTTGTCCCGGCCGGCACTGACCCGGCTCTGACACACAACAGTCTCTTGGTTGGTGTTTCAGCAGGTGAATCATGTCCACGAGCCCTTCTCATTTCCTAGCCCCTGCTCTCTTCAGAATCCCCTTCAGGGGTTCCTTTCCCTGTTTTTCTCATCTTCCCTTATTGCCAGCTTATTTGCCTCTCTGCTTTCAAGCTCCCTCGCTCTGTTAGTTGTTTCTCTCCCTCCTTCTCTCCCCCCCCCTTCTTTTAAAGAGAGGGAGAGAAACATCAATGTGTGGTTGCCTCTCATGCACCCTCTACTGGGAACCCGACCTGTAACCCAGGCCTGTGCCCTAACTGGGAACCAAACCAGTGACCCTTTGGTTCACAGGCCAGTGCTCAATCCACTGAGCCACACCAGCCAGGGCGCTCTCTCTCTCTCTCTTTTTTTTTAAGATTTTATTTACTTAATTTTAGAGAGAGGGGAAGGAGGGAGAGAGGGAGAGAAACATCAGTGTGTGGTTGCCTCTTGTGTACCCCCTACTGGGGACCTGGCCCACAACCCAGGCTTGTGCCCTGACTGGGAATTGAACCGGCGACCCTTTGGTTTGCAGATCAGCACTCAGTCCACTGAGCCGCTCCAGGCACTGCTCTCTTTTCTGTGCTCATCTACCCCTCCAAGTCAGATCTCCAGTCTGCATTCCAGGGCCTCGCCCTTGCCTGCTCACAGAACACTGTATTCCCTCTTCTCACAGAATGGGAGCCCAGGCTGGAGGTGAAGGAGGAGTCGTGTCAGCAGCAGGACCCCTACAAAGAAGAGCCATCCCAAGAGTCGGTTGTGGAGGGGCCGGCGAGGTCCAGTCTCCACAGCCCCGGTCCAGGCATCGGGCAGGCCTGGGAGGGCCCCGTGGCTGCTCTGTCTCGAGGCGAGGCTGTGCTCTGGAGGTGCACGCCCGGCAGCTGTGGGGAGGTTCCCACGGAGGAGCGCTGGCAGGGACACGAGGCGTCACAGGAGGCTGTTCCCCTCAGGTGCACCCTCTTGGCCCAGCAGAGCAGAGGAACTCCCGTTCCTGTGGAGGGGTGGCCTCCCGACAGACATGCAGGGAATCTGCAGTCCGGCGAGGCTGTAGCCCAGCAGCAGAGAACGTGCGCAGGGAGAAGCGATTGCGAGTCCAGTGAACAGGGACAGCCTCCCCCCGTGGACCGGCGTCAGGGGGCCGGCCCCGGGGAGGGCCTGTTTGTGTGCGGCCAGTGTGGGAAGGCCTTCCGCCAGAGCTCGTCCCTCGCCCTGCACCAGCGCTGGCACGCCCGGGAGAAGGCCTACCAGTGCAACGCGTGCGGCAAGGCCTTCACCTGGAGGACCAACCTCGTGGAGCACCAGAGGATCCACACGGGCGAGAAGCCCTTCCTCTGTGGCGAGTGCGGGAAGGCCTTCAGCTGCCACTCGTCCCTGAACGTGCACCACCGCATCCACACGGGCGAGCGGCCCTACAAGTGCAACGCCTGCGAGAAGGCCTTCAGCTGCAGCTCGCTGCTGAACATGCACCTCCGGGTCCACACCGGGGAGAAGCCCTACAAGTGCGGCGAGTGCGGGAAGGCCTTCAACCAGCGGACGCACCTGACGCGGCACCACCGGATCCACACGGGGGAGAAGCCGTACAAGTGTGACGAGTGTGGGAAGGCCTTCACTTGCCACTCGTCCCTTACCGTGCACGAGAAAATCCACAATGGAGACAAGCCATTTAAATGCAGCGACTGTGCAAAGGCCTTCAACAACCGCTCACGCCTCACCCTCCACCAGAGGATTCACACCGGAGAGAAGCCCTTTAAGTGCGGCGACTGCGGGAAGGGCTTCAGCTGCCACTCCTACCTGGTCGTGCACCAGCGCATCCACAGTGGCGAGAAGCCCTTCAAGTGCAACGAGTGCGGGAAGGCCTTCAGCTCCCACTCCTACCTCATTGTGCACCAGCGGATCCACACGGGCGAGAAGCCCTTTGACTGCAGCCGGTGCTGGAAGGCCTTCAGCTGCCACTCATCCCTCATCGTGCACCAGCGGATCCACACCGGAGAGAAGCCCTATAAATGCAGCCAGTGCGGCAAAGCATTCAGCCAGAATCACTGTCTCATCAAACACCAGAAAATCCACTCTGGGGAGAAGTCTTTTAAATGTAATGAATGCGGCAAAATGTTCAGCTGGAGCGCCCACCTCACCGAGCACCAGAGGACGCACAGAGAGGAGAAGCCCTTCACTGTCCAGTTCAACAAGCACTTGCTGGGCACGTACTACGTGCCCAGCAGCCTGCTGGACGCGAGTGGCATGGGTGTGAGCGGCATGGACCCCATAAACTCGCTGGATGTGGCCGAGCTCCTCTGTGTGGTTCAGCCCTCGGCCAGCAGGAGCTTCCCCTTGGGCGGCAAACCTGGAGATTAACATCGTGTGCTTGTCACCCGGCCTCTCCAGTGTGACCGGGGAGAGCACGCGGGTCCGTAGGCATGTGCTGTAACAGACACCCTCTTAACAATGGCTGTCCCTCCCCAGGAAGGGACGCACTGCAGGAGAGGAGAGTCGAGGGCCAGCTGAGGACGTGCCGTCGTCCTGTGTCCTTTGACGGGTGTGGAAGTCACCGGCCAGGGGATAGGTCTGTCCTGCAGGTGAAAAGGTGTGTCAGCCATTGTGTCCTCAGACAGGTTCCTGGCACAGTCTCCATCAGGAGTTCCATGTGGGAGCTGGTATGGTTAGAATAATACGACGAAGTATTAAAAACCAGCGTTATGAACAGTGTTCCCTCCAAGCGAACGTTACTGTATTCCTGGAGGGGAGAGTAACCTTGGCTGATTGGAGTTCGGGACAGAGCGGGTTTCCTGGACTCACCTCACTTAAGTGGCTCTGCTACACGGTCATTTGTTAGAGGCGGCCCCGATGTCACAGAAGCACAGACTGGCGTCAGAGCAGCCAGGTACTGACATGCAGGCATCACGCCTGGCCATCCGGTCCTCGGTGGAAGGTCGTGAGCGCACAGGCATGGCCTGGCGCGTGCGGGGAGGCGGCGCAGTGTCGGGAGAGGTGTGTCGAGGAGCGTGGCTGCACCCCAAGCTGGGGCTGCCTGGAGGGTCTCCCCACGCACCAGGTAGCTCAGCTCATCTGTGCCCCCCCCCGCCACCCCCCAGGGCGAAGCGCCTCCACAGAGACCGTCCCTGCTCCCTGCGGGCAGGAAGGTGGCGCTCACCTGGAATTCTCGTCGTTTCTACTCAGTTCTAAGCAAGTACACGATGCCTTCTCAGTGATAATGCTTTACATTTGTACAGAGCACTATAGTTTATGAAATGCTTTTTAGTATACTTTTTAAATGGAGGCTAAATAACCACATTTCAGAAAATGTGGAATAAAGGAGAGAAAACATCCATAATGCTTAATAAAATAAAACTGCATTTTGCACTTTGATATTTTATTTCTGCTTTTTTTCATGTTGCATTTTTACATCACTTTAAACACAGTAGATGATATCACTTTAATCTTTCCCCCACTCAGCTGCATAGAAGGACTTTCCCCCAGTGACTGCCTTGTCCTTGGAGACTCACCCCACGTGGGGGCGCAGTGCTCTGTCACATGCCCTTTTGTTGGACGTTGAGGCTGTTTCCTCGTGCTCTACTGGTGTAATCATTCTTCACGGCGCATCTTTGCACTGTACTTCGTCAGCATTTTCTGGGAGTCGGTTTCTAGAAGTGGATATTTCAAGGTAAAGGAAATGAATTGCATAAGGAATCATCTCAGGACGTTTTGGCTGCGTGTTTGCAGAGCGATGCCCTTCCATTGTGAAGAAACCAGTCCGCGGCGCTGGCCAGGTGGGGCGCCCCTGCTCGTCCACCCTAGGCACAGGCGCCGTCCACAGCTGAGTGTCTGGGCGGCCTTTGCTCAGGTCGTGGGCATGACACAGCGATGGCCCCAGGCCTTTGCCACTCTGCCGCCTCCCTCCGGAGCGTCTGGGAGCCGGCCTGCCGTTACGTGGTCCCCGGGGCCACACCATGTCAGTCATGGGCCCTTCCGCGCACACGTATGGGCTCAGCACGCACATTTTCTCTCTTTGTGGCTGCATTTTTTATGTATAAAGGTTTTCAAACTCTGTTTAATAAGATCTATTTGATTTTTTCCCTTTATATTTTTCTTTGGCTCTTAGAAAGCCTCTTCCTTAAGTCCTTTTCTATTTCCATATTTTATATTTCACTCTTAAATCCTCCGCCTATTTGGGATGTGGAATTGAAGGTGCCTGCATCATTCTTCAATCACTTTCCTCACCATTTATAGATCTGTCTTTCCTGTTGTTGTAGCTCCACAATTCACGTTGATATGTGGTAGGCCCAGGACCACTTTTTAATAGTTTTTTAAAAGTTGTTGTATCTGTTTTTCCAGGTGAACCAGGAATCATTTTCTCAGAACTTCTTCATTCCTTCCCTTGAATATCTCACTGGGATTTTGATTAGAATTGACTAGTTCATGAAATATTAAGTTCCTTATAATGTCTTCACATCAAAAAATGTGATAGATAACTTCATTCAAATCTACCTCTAACCATCAGAAAAGTTTTACAGCTTTCTTCATAAATGTTCTTATACTTATTCTTAAGTTCATTCTGATTTTGTGGGGTTTGGAAATTGGGTCTTTCTGTTAGAAGATAGATATATAGGACCCCTGGTGATTGTATGTGTCTCCTCATGCATTTATTTTGTACCCAGTAACGTTACTGAGTTATTCTAAGGTCTCTAACAGCTTCTCAGTTTATTGGGTTTTCTAGGTAAACAGTCACAGCAGCTGGAAATAAAAAGCTTGACTCTCCTTTCCATATCGATGCCTTTTATTTCATTTTTTGGGGGGTGTGGGTCAAATCATTTTATTGGGGGCCTTCCAGGGAAGGTCAAAGGGCTGGGCCGACGGATCTGATGTCCTCTGCCCAGCTGGGGTCTCACCGCCCCAGCTTCAAAGCCATGGAAAAAGCTACTTCATTTCTTTTCTTTTTAAAGATTTTATTTTATTTATTTTTAGACAGAGGGGAAGGGAGGGAGAAAGAGGGAAAGAAACATCAATGTGTGGTTGCCTCTCATGCACCCCCCACTGGGGACCTGGCCCACAACCCAGGCACATGCCCTGATTGGGAATCAAACCAGTGACCCTTTGGTTCTCAGGCCAGTTCTCGGGCCACTGAGCCACACCAGCCAGGGCAGCTATTTCATTTGTTAAAAGGCAACATTGGCCAGCACTTACAGAGCATCACTCAGTGTTGCTGGCAGTGGTCGTCTGTGGTGGGCATGTGTCCATCTCAAAATACTTTGGCCTCTAAAGCTTGGTTGCAGCTGGGTGGCCACACAGCCCCGTTCTGACCCATGAAGCTCCAGTGGAAGTCTGCTGGAAACCTTGAAACAGTCTTTGCTTTCCTGGTGGGAAAACGGCTCCTTCCTCCTCCCCTTCTCCTTCCTGCCTGGAACTCGGATGCAATGCCCAGAGGCGTGGCAGCCATCTTGCAACTATGAGACAACTGAGGACAAAAGCCACACATAGTGAAATGGAAAAACAAGGACCCTAGGCCTTGGATGAAATTTTCGAGCAGCTGTCACAGCCACCAACAGCTCCCTGGGTTCTTGCCATGTGAGGAGAACAAACAGCGTAAGTCCATTTGGCGCTCCTCACAGGGGGTTTACACCTCACGGCTGCAGCCTCTGGGACTTCATTCCGACTGCAAGGGAGACGGAGCTAGTGTTTCGCTGTCAGGAAAATGCCAGCCGTCGCCATAACTGACTGTTGATCACATTAATAAACTGTCTTTGTAGGCCTTGTTTGCTAAGGCTTCAAAACATCAGGATTTGATGCTGACTTTGACCAAACACCTTCCTGGCGCACCTCAGAAATGGTTATGTGGGTTTCCTTCCTTGTTATGGAAACAGAGTTGGGTGTGTAAAGGGATTTTCTAACATATCATCTTTGTGTTATTGGAATAAACCCCACTCAGCAACGGTGCATCAGTGTTTACCACGTAAGCACTCACTTTTCTAGAGCGGGGGTGTCACAGCAGACTTGCCCAGCAGTGAGCCCATGATTTCACTCTGGTTTGGCCTGGAAATAAGCCACCTGTGACTGTACCCGGGAGGAAGTGGATAGGATTGTTCTTCCCATTTGCTCCCGTTTACTAAATAAATAAGTGGGTGTCAGGGCTCCCCCAGAGCCCGGCACAGTGGCTGGGAAGACCCCTAACATACAGGGCATCCACATGGAGATGCACCAGAGGCGGCCGCTTTCTAGACGATGGGCCAGGACAGGCTTTTATCCGAATCACTGAAATGACAGACACATTACTTTGCATTCAGGACAATTAGTCCATCACTCTTCCTGTGCTGCTCCAGAATGACACTGTCGCTCCTGTCCTGACCGCAGCTGTGACCGGCTGAAGCAGGAGGGAGAAGCCAGGCCCACTGCCAGGGTTCTGGGGCACGGCAGCAAACCGAGTTTCCTGCCAGTTTGCCTCCAGGAAGGTTGTGCCAGACAGAGGGGGACACAGGCAGAGACTAGAAGGTGAGAGGAGGGCAGTGGGCCTGCCTCTCGCTTCCTTTCCCCCTGAGCCACAGAGGGCAGGACAGGGCTTCCTGGAATCCACGGCACTCTGCCTCGTCCAGAGGTCCAAGCCTCTGTGTGCTGATTAGGATGGGGTGAGGGCTGAGGTTTGGGAGCTTAGGAAAGATGGCGAGGACCAGGGTGTCTAGAGGTTAGGGTAGGAGCTAGGGCTGGGATTAGGGTGGGCTATTTCTTGAGCTGTGAGCACCTGCTGGTGTGAGAAAAAAGTGGGGCCACGCCTTTTGAGTGCTGGTCCATCCGGTGGAATGGCACGACCCCTTCAGAGCCCAGCGGGCCCTGGATCCTAACTTGAGGACCACAGAGCAGCGGGCCAGTCTGCACTTCTCAGCAGAAAGGTCACGCAGAGCCTGGGTCACTTAGGCACCAAGCCACCTGGCACCCTTTCCATGTTCTAATTGCATCAGCTGTCCAATAAAGCTTTAAATGTCCACTTGAGTCCAGTTGGAGATGTCTCTGCTTCAATTTCCTCCCCTTGTAGAATCATTCTGGGGGTGGGTTTGTCAGGGGTCCTCTCCCGCTGCTCAAGGTAGGCGCTTCTTCCTTCAGGGAGTCCAGTCAGTGGGGTCAGAGTGAGGTCACCTCACAGCCATTACTTCCGACGGCTTTCGGGGCCCTGGACCGAAGCCAGGAGCAGAGACTCCCTGGAGCGTGTGTATCCCCAGCAGCACCAGGAGGGCCCATAGTCCCTGTTGGTCTATTTCACTGGGATCCCAAGCTGCTCACAGCACATCGGGGTCCCCAAACCACCTCAGGCTTGATGATTCACTGGAAGGATTCACAGGACTCCAAAACAGCCGCAGCTTATTGCCCTCCAAAGACACAGACTCACGTGTGCAAAGGAGGAAGCTACAGCAGGCCACATCCAGGAGAGACCAGGCACGCGCGCCCAGACGACCCCTCCCTGTGGAGGTGCACGCACGGGGCCACGTGAACTCCCAGCAACAGTGTGTGAGGCGAGCACAGAGCCCCGACCAGAGGGGCTCGCCATGCCTCGGTGGCCAGGGTTTTCACTGGGGGTCACCCTAAGGGTTGCAGCCCCCCTGTGACCAGCCCCAGCCTCTCAGACTCCAGCCCTCACTTCCTCCTCCCACCCCAGAGCGAAAAGAGGTGTTCACAATAAATCACCATCTTAAACAAGACTCAGCTGGTCACACTGGTGCACGGAGCCCAAGGCCTCAGGCACACGAGCACTTTTACCCGGAGGGCAGCCCTGAGGCTCAGAGGCGACCTGGAAACAGGCCTGTCCTTGGCATACGTGTGGTTTGAGCACCCAGGCCTGCTGAGTCCATCACTTCCTGCCCCTGTGTCCTTTGCCTTCAAGGAGGGCCCAGTGACAAGCATTTCAGGCCACTTTTCCTAAGTGCCAGTGCCACTGAACACCTTGTGCATTTTCACTTATGCTGCAAAGCAGAATCTCAACACAGCAGAGATTGGGGCAGTGGCGGCAGTTGCAAAGGCATTTAGGCCAGGGAGGGTCCAAATGAGCCATCTGTTCTTGAGTATGGACCTCTATGGACCTCAGCATGTCCCCTGGCTCCTGGTGGTCTTCACACAACCACCACCCAAGGGTCCCGTGTTGCATAGGGCATCTATTTTCCCCTGAATGTCCTATGCAATGGGGGTCACTCCTGGTTGAAACATGCAACCAACACACAGAGGAGAAGACCTTCCTCTCACCCCTTATGCTGATAAGGGGGACCCCAATCTTGTACTCTTCCCCCCAAAGTGGCTCAGGTTATGAATCATAACAAAGGCCCAGTAGGGACCTGCAGAGGGAACACAGCTCAGCACCCCTCACAGGCAAAGCCGTCCAGGAAGTGGGGAACCAGTTCACTCACCACAGGCCGAAAGCTTGTGCTCTGTGACCATGAGCAAGAGAAGAAGGATCTCAGAAGATGACAGTCCCTCCCTGGCCAGGTAGCTTGGTTGGAGCATCATCCCAACATGCAAAGGTTGAGGGTTTGATCCCTGGTAAGGGCACACTCAAGAATCAACCAATGAATGCATGAGTAAGTGGAATAATAAGTCAATCTCTCTCCCTCCCTCCCTCTCTCTCTCTCTCTCTCTCTCTCTATATATATATATATATATATATATACACACACACACACACACACACACACACACACATATATATAACTTAAAAGAAAAACGTTCCTTTTTATTATTGGCTTTGCCAAATTGGATGTTGAGGACTTTCCCAAGTCATTAAAAATATTCATGTGGCTCAGTGTATGTTAAAACAGGAGTTTGAAGCGTGGACCCATTACTCACAGAAGGGTGCTTATCCCCACTCTGTCTCCATATAACAGCTCAGTTTGGCCTGTCTTTCAATTCAGAAAGGACAAGTGGCACCTTAGGGTGAATTCCTGCAACTTTAACCAATGGCCCCTGAAGGCCCCACCCCTAACAAACTGAAATGATGAAGGCCATTCAATCTCCCCGGGGCCAATATTCTGTTGTTATAACTTGGCTAATATATTTGTCTAATATATTCTATGCAGACCTCATTGCAACAGCCTCTCAGCCTCTACTCACATTCACTTTTCTTTTTCAGTTTTTTTTTTAAGATTTATGTATTTATGTTTAGACAGAGGGGAAGGGAGGGAGAAGAGGGGAAGAGGGAGAGAAGCATCAATGTGTGGGTGCCTCTTGTGTGCCACCTACTGGGGACCTGGCTACAACACAGGCATGTGCCCTGACTGGGAATTGAACCTGTGACCCTCTGTTTTGCAGGCCAGCACTCAATCCACTGAGCCACACCAGCCAGGGCTCAGTTTTTTTTCTTAGTTCATATTATGTATTTTCATTTTGATAAAATATGGATAACATAAAATTTACATTTTAACCATTTAAAAACATACAACTCGTCAGACTTAAATGTGTTCATGTTGTTATGCAGCTCTCAGCACTATGGTTTCAGAACTTTCTCATCTTGCAAAACTGAAGTTCTGTGCCCACTAAGTACTTACTCCCCATTCCGCCCACTCCTGGGCCCTTCCATCTCCACTCTACTTACTTTTCTTTTTAAAAAACACTTTATTCATTTATTTTTAGAGAGAGAGGAAGGGAGGGAGAAAAAGAGGGAGAGAAACATCAATGTGTGGTTGCCTCTTATGCACCCCCTACTGGGGACCTGGCCTGCAACCCGGGCATGTGCCCTGACTGGGAATCGAACCAGTGACCCCTTGATTCACAGGCTGGCAC